AGGTAAAAAAGAAGTATAAAAAATAAAAAGAATGGATTTGAAGAAATATTTTTATAAAAAAAACGATGTTTTGGAAAAACATTTGTAAAAAGGAAAATGATTTTGGTTTTTTTTTTGACAAACGAAATATGTTACATTATCGTAAAAAGAACTTTACAAATTCAGAATTATAAGGATTTTAGATATTGATTAAGAGTTCAATTTGGGATATATTTTTTTAAGGCTTAATTAAGAGACAAAAATAATTAGGGAATTACTAGAGTTGATACATAGGTAGATATTGATAAAAAGATTTAGACATAAGACAAAAGACTAAAATCAATAGGTAGGATAAAGAACAATAGAATCGATGTCTAAGTAAAGGCAAACGGTCGTAGAAGAAATGAAGAAGTCTAGAATCATTAGTTATCAGTACATCAAGTCGTCATGGATAGGAAGACATTATGGGGCTATAAAGCATTAAAAGCTGCGAATAATAGACAAAAGACGAGAAAAAAGAAGAATTGTTAACGGGAGATTGTCATTGCTTGTAAAATTTAAATTGATTATGCCTTTACTTGTAAAATGTAAATTGATATTTTCATCATTTACAAAATGTAAATTTATTATATATTTGAAAAATTTTTTAGTAAGCAAATTTTATTTGTAAAATTGAAATATTGTAAATGTCTAAAAAGAGAGATCAAAGATGTAATAGATTATTAATTTTTCACGTTTGTATTAAATAAAATCAAATTAAAGTTGCAATTTTGTGTTATATAGTTAAAATAACCTGTGTTAAAATATTACAAAAATAATATTTTTTAACCATTTTATTTTGGAAATTATTTATAGAATTTTATTTTTCCTCGTGCAAAGAATTAGGAGATATTATATATAAACTTTTATTAAAAAGGGAAGAGAATCTGAGGATTGGAATAAAACTCTTAGAATAATAATTTCAGTAGATAGATTAGTAACCGATTAAAATGTCTAAAGATAGAACCTCATTGACAAAATTTTACATAGGACATTTAACCCTTAGAATTCACAAAATGTATAATTAAGAATTAAATGAAAAAGTCGTAAAATATTATAATAAACATCTTCTTGCAATTTCAACTGGAGGACGTAAAATTAACCTTAAAATTAGTGTTTTTTATTAGAGAATGGCATTAGAGATGGGAATGACCATAATTTTATTCATTCACATGGACAATACAGATGTATCTCATATTTTCTTAACCCGATGTATAAAAGACGATAATTTTATCATATTAAAAAAATTTTAAAATAAAAATTGAAAAAATTTGAAAACGTTATAAAAATAAAATCCACTAGGATAATGTTTAATGTTTTTAAAGATATTTCTAAAATAATTAAATTTAAGCTGTTTTTGCCAAGAGTTCATTTATGTTTCTTAATTTTTTTTAGGCTGGAACATTTTCTATTTAATATCAGAGGTTGGCGTCCGGCCCACTAGAATTTTGGGGTCGGACAACTAAAATATTTGGTCGAATGAGGAAGTTAGCAAATATGCTTAATAAAATTCACGTTTTTTTAATTCATAAATTTTTTTTATTATGGACTGGACTTGAAAATTTATACAAAATTATTTTACGGGCTGATCAAAAAAATTAGATCAAAAAAGGCAATAATATAATCTAAATTCATTGAAATCATAATAGGTCAGACCCTATTAAAAATCGTCGTAATTTTTATTTTATTGTTTACATCCAGTAAACAATGTGTAAATAGAGGTAGCTTTAGCACACTACTTTAAAAAAAAATAGCGATAGCTCGTTACTTTCAATTTTATATAATTAATTTTATAATTAAATCTAAAATAATAATCTTATTATTTAATTTAATTTTGAAATTTAAAAATATGCATTTAAATCTAGTTTACACCATAATTTTCTAAAATTTGAGTTTGATGTTGATGATAGCTACAAATCATATCGAATAAAAATTTAAAAAATGATGATAATATGGATTTTCCTTTTCCAGAAATTATTTTAATCTGAATAAAAAAAATTTGTACTAGATATCGATTTCGATGCAAGATTTGTCAGAAGATTTTATCCTCAAATGAGACAAGTAGTTTAAATTTGCGAAAATATTTAAAGGTAATATATAATAAATTAGTATTTGAATCATTGTATATATTAGATAAATGAAATATAATTTCTTTTATAATTTTGAAAATAATCTATTCAAATAAATTACTATTTTATTTGTTTATAATATTGATACTGTGGTATAATGTTAGATAATTATGTTAAAAAATTTATTATTAAAATCTTAATAAACAATAAAAATCCCCCTAATGATGGCGATAGTTAAATTTTTTGTATTGGTTTTACATTAATAAATATAAAAAAAATAGAATAAAAAGAAATATATCACAAACAAAATAATCCATTTATATTTGGTGTTATGCCAGAAGAGAAGTAATGCGAAAAAATCTTTGAAGCAAATATTGTTGAGACATTTATTAATTATCTCTAAAGTTTTAATATTGTCTTATTTTAGTAAAAAAACCAAAATTTTAATATTATTCTATTTCACAATTATTTAATATGAAGCATCTGAATTTATTTGAATGATAATTATAACTGAGGAGTCAGGGATATTTTATCAACACCAAATTTGATAAGGTTTGGAACTCAAACTCCCTAATAATGTAAGCTGATAGATTAGTAGCCGGTCAAAATTCTGCGAACAGTTTATTAAAATATATTCATAATAGGACATTTAGTCCTAGAATCCAAAATACTTCAAAGATGGAAAATCGAAATTTTAATGAATTATGAAAAAGTTATTATAATCAACATATATTTGCAATTCAATTTGGCAATGTAAAATTAACCTTAAAATATTATTTTTTTTAATTAGAGATTGGTATTTAGAGATGGAATTTGTATTCATTCAAGCCGGCATTAAATATTTTTATGCTCGACTCGTAAAGGCAAATTTTGTTCACGTCCAAAAATTTTAATTTCTAAATCAAAATTTTATTTAAATAGGATACTAATATTTTTTAATATAGTTATATTCATCATTTCTCTGGCAAATTATTATCGGCTTATTTGTTCAATGGAAGTCAAACTGGCTGGGGCTGGCAATATTAGCTAATTTACTGATAGAAAAATTTAAGTTGATTTTTAAATATTTTATCGGACCCGAAAATTAACAAATATTTTAAAGCGTATACTAGAAAAATTTATGTTTTTTATTCATAAATTTTTATTATTATAGGTTAAAACGGCCAACTCAATATTTTATCCACAAAAATATTACAAAAGCCTAGAGATTTTGCTTATAGATGGGACTAAGATTTGGATATATATTAGCGAAATTTCGAGACAAAGGCAATATTTTTCTGGCTTAAATATTGATTCAGCCGTTTTAAAAAATCGGCTCAATCGAACCGTTTAATAACACTAATAGGCTGGGCAATTTCTATAAAATTTTACTGGCTGGACAAATAATGGTCAAAACCGATTAAAAATCTTAGCTAAATTAATTTTAAGTTGAGATGTAAGTATAAACTAAAATTAACTTAGCCGATAAGTATCTTTAATTATCAAACTACAAGGTGCATGCTGAGGCCTGATATCAAGCTCATGGACTGCCTTAGTGGTTAGTTTAGGTTATAGAACTATATGGGGTTAGAGGTTAATATATTTATAAAAAAGGGTTTAAAAATATTTGGTAACAAAGCTAAATATCTGCACATAGTAATTAATTTCTAATAGTTGTAAATGATAAATTTATCACCTCAAAGAGATTGGTGGACATTTTAGAATTTTAAACCAATTAAAAAAATCTTCGAAATGGGATATTACCATCAAGTTAAATGTAGGATCGGTTGTTCAATACCCGCTGGGAAGTTATTTCCCAGCTAGTAAGTACGATATATATTTTAAAAAAGAGGGTTTAAAAAAATTTGATGCTTAAATTTTTAATTAACGGTTCAAGGTTAGGTTCAGTTAATAAAAAAATTGTATCGGAATAGCTCGAACCTCTAATATCAGGTTTGAACACTTTTGTAGACAAACAAACCTATAGTCGAATTATATATATTATTTGTTGTGATATTTTGTTAATTTTATTGAGTTCTAGAGTGTGTTTTCTTTTTATGTGACGCTTAAGATTTGCTCCGTGGTGCCCCTTCATAGTTAAATTTTTAATAAAAAATTTTATGAATATTTTTAAGCATCTTAAATTCATAATAGGCAAGATAGGTTAATGTATCCTAAATATCCCATGTTTATTCGTTCCATTTTCGGTGGAGCCCATTTTTCAAAAACCCTTTTTTCTAAAGTTCAGCTCCAGCATTTAGTTAAAGGAAGATAAATGGCAGAAAGCCACACGGATATGGCGGTAGGATTAATACATATATTAAAAAATGGTGTAATAAAATTTAGTCAATTGTTTAATAGATTAAAACATCATAGTATGAATATGAACACATGATTTATATCAAATTATCATAAATTTTTCACTTAAAATATTTAATTAGTTTTACCTCAAATAAATTAATAATTTTTTCTAATCGACTTTTTTTAAGCATAAGATTTACTTTGGGGTATTTTTATCCTGTGTCTTTTAATTAAGGTCATTTTATCCAGGTCATTTATGTCCGGGATTCGGAATTCACCATATAAGACCTGGACATTATTTTCTTTAAACCAATTTTCAAGTTATACAATATATAATTACTTTTTTTAATTGATTGTTCATGTTCACCCAATTCATTACCATTCTGTACAACTGTTTCAAGGCCAATTTCTATTGTATAAACTTTTCACATACATTTTTTAAGCATAGATCAAAAAAGAGATTTGTTAATATAATTTTAACGTCAATTTAATAACTATTCTTTTAAATCCTCTTTAATTAATTTTTTTTTTAATATTATAAAATGTTATGCAATTAAAACACGATGATAAACATAAATTATGATCTTTATTTAATTTTTTGTATTGTTTAAGATTTAAAATTTTTTTATATGACATTTGTGAAAAATCCGGCAAAATGAATATTTAATCATAAAAAAATATTGCCAGAGAGATATTATCGAAAATTTTGTTTCTTGTTGATATCCTGTAATTTTCATTAGAATAAATCGATATCCTAATTCCCATTATAAAGTAAAGTTTAAAAAATAATCATATTAAAATCAGTTTTCTTTAGAAATAAAACATGAAGTATAACATAGTTGAAATTATCATGATATGGCTTACCTTACATTTAACTCAGTATAATTCTCAACTTACCACATCAGATGAATTAGTAATTAAAATATATACATAAATATCATTACTATAGTGCTTACATATTGAGCAAAAACATTAAGCGTTAGATTTTTTTATGACAAAAGTAACATTTCCTAATTTGCACGTTATCACTTAAAATATATTATTAAAATAAAACGCAAAACGCTTCAATTTATAAGAGATATTTATACATTCCCTTTTTTCTTTCCAATTCTCAATTTACATTGGCGATACAACTTAAGCTTTATATAAGGTTTGATTGGACAAAAAAATAAAACAGAATTTTTTATCGATAAAATAAGGCATAGTTTTGTAAGAGAATTTATGAGGCAAATCAAATAACCATATAACCCCGGAATCCCTTTTTAAAATTTGTAGAAACCGAAAGTGGCTCTAACAAAAGGACAATAACTTTGTGCAACTGTAGTGTGATCTGTGATTTATTTTAGAGGATTTTGCTCATTGCTGCTTAACATAGTTTGAAACCGGAACCTGGAATGTCAAATCTAAGAGCCCGGAACCTTAAAAAATTTAGAAGAATTGAATAAAATCTTTCCCAAACAAATAATAGACGTTAATATCTGTGAAAGTCCTTCTGCAACTCCATTTTTTAAAATACTATTTTAGACTGAGGTCTATAATTATTTTTATTAACAAATACTTTCATATCTTTTAATGACGCCAATTATTCGTATTATAATATTTTAGAGCAATTAATAATTGATATCAATGTTAAAAAGATACAAAATATTAGAGACCTGCAGAGGTACCATTTGCATGGTCTGGCGGATTTCTCCTAAGAAATATTTTCAGACCCGGACCGGATTTTTTATAAATATAAAATATTTATTTTTAATTTTTATAGCTAATAATGGCGATTTAAAATATTTGGTTTTAAAACCCGAGACGCTCTCCAGCCTCAGTAGCGTCACCAGGGAGAGGCAGACAAGGGCTCAAGCCTCCTAAAAATTTAAAGAACGAGAATTTGGAAAATTTAATAAATGTTGGCTAAAAAAAGTCATTTTCAAAGATAGCAAAAAAAACAACAAAAGTTTTTTTGAGTCCCCTGAGATGGTAAAGGCTAGTGACACTATTGCGCAGGCGCGCAACTAAGAAAAATATACTCTTTAGCAAATTTACCTGTTCTCGTAAATATAATTTTAAATTAATAAAAACTCTCCCCCTAATACCCCACCCCCTCTCCCCAAGAAAGGTATACAATATATCACAATAAAGGAGAATTTGAAAGTTGGTAAAACGACTAAATTTAATATTTTTAGAAAAAAAGCATTTTTATAATTAAAAAAAAGTCAAACCCCCAAATTATTTTTATAAAAGTCTAATATAGCCAAAGGCATACATTAAGTGGACCTAAAAATATGAAATAAAATTTATGTGGGAAAACCCCACCTAAAAGTGACCCCCCCCCCCCCCCCCCCCCCAAGTACCCTGGATACGCCTATGGCTCAGCCTTTATATTCGGATTAGGTTAGGATTAGACCTATCCAAAAACGAATAATCAAATGGCATTATTTGTTAATAATCTACTATTTGTTATTGTGCAAATAATTAATTTACTATTTTATAATATCAAATTTTGAATAATTTTCATAATTAAAATTTGTAAATCGTATAAAATTAATTTAAAAAATAATTAACTTAATAATATATTTTTAAAAAAATATTTATTGTACAACAATATAATTAATTAATTAATTTTTATCCATCAACAGAGAATAGGAAACTAATGCAGTTAGATCTAATTATATATACCATTTTTTGTCTAAGCTAGAAGCCTTCACTTGGAATATCGGTCTCCGATGTAATGCGATGTCCTAGATCCTAGAATAAGGTTAGAGTATGATTGCCCAAAGTTATTAGAAATTATTAGTATGAATAAATAGCTGGGAGGTAAAGCAGAAGAATAATTTACTTCGTTCTGCGTTGACAATAGCATCATAGTTTAAGTTGAAGGGCGCGGGGTCTACATCAAAAATATCTCAGGTTAAGAACTTACCACTCTTCTATGGAATGTTGGATAAACCATCAGGACCTTTACCATCTGAGTTACAAAGTATAGTCGGCTCAAGGGTTGAAGGAATTTCAACAGATTTCAAGGCATGAGATATAGTATCATTACATTTTGTTTGTCTTAGAAATATACCTCTATATCGTCAATGCAGGGAGTGGCGACTTTTCTAGTCAACAGGAGTTTTACAAAGTGAACATGAGTATATTATAAATATATCGCAATTAATTCCGAGTCTGATGGCATACCTCATCGTTTTTGAGTAGTAAACAGATTACTTGAAGATATGCTTTAAGAAATTCAACGAAATTAAAAAGAGAATGGAAGGTTCCACAGGTTGACTTGTCGATTTAAAATATGTGACGGAGTTGCCAAAAAGTAAACCCCAATCTCTCTTCAATGACGTTGGGAGAATCACTAGGGAAGAGGATTTCGCAAGAATGGCCTTAAAGAATAGATGATCTGGATGAGTAGTTAATTTTCTGATGATTGGGTCACATGATATACGCGAAAATTTGACTGAAACTAAGGAAATGTTCGTATTCCTATTCCACCTGCTTTGTGGGTGGGGGGGGGGTCTGCTGTAGTCAGGATAATTCTCCAAACTTAAAATTGACGATTTGTTCGGTCATTATTTTGATCTCTTGTTCGTAGGGAGCAAGAATGGCAGGTGGATATCTGCAAAGTAATTTTTACGCAGCCCAAGCCCGACCCGAGCCCGAGCACACATATTTTAGTCCAACCCGACCCACCCGAATAATATTTTATAATTTGAGTTTGAATAAATATAATAACTAAAAAAAAATATGTGTATCTATTCATCGCCACCTAAATAAAGGTTTATTTGACGGCCATAATCTAATCAAGATATATAATAAGTTGCATTTTATTTAATTTGTAAAAAATATTATAAAATACAATCGAATCTAAAAATTATATAATTTAACCATATTTTCATATATTTGTTATCAGCATATCGACCCTTTTTCATATATGAGTTATATTTCAGAAATAATTTATTGTGTATACCATCAGCAGTATCTTAACTTTCTAGAAATTGTCGTGGGATTTGGAATGATGCTTTTAACATCAATATTTTCATATATTGAGCCAATTTTGGCAAAATATTGGCAACAATCAACAAAGCCTTCCCCATGCATCAAATGATCTCAAATAACGTCCACAAAACATGGTGAGCACCTTTGTACACTCTTTTTTTTTTTTAATTTGGCCCAACTTTTGAGTTTTTTGGAATCAGTAAAGGCTATCAATTGTTAATTGACTCTTTTTACTCTTTTGTAAATACGCATTTATGCCTTTCTAGTTGATCTTTGCATAATTAATTTAATAAAAAATTGCAGTTTTCATCATATATAAATGAAAACTTTTTGGGACCTTAGATTTACAATTGGCATTTTCCCTTACTTCATATTCATTGCTCTTAATCTTTTCACCAATTTTTTTAATTTGGCATCCATTGAAATAATTTTTTTAATATGAAAATATGAGGCTCTTTGAATAGATATTGGTAAAATATATATTGTTTAACTTGATAAAACATGAAGAAAATAAAGTATGTAATAATATCGTTAACTATGCAATGCAATGTACTAAAATATAATAACATAAAATAGTTTAGTATATGGTTGTTATATAAATTATAAAATAATATTTAAAAATGACATGTTATTCTGATTGAAATTTTAAGGGGAAAATGTGATAAATAAAAAATGATATGATTTTATAATTGACATGAAATGAATTTACGATATTTATATTAATATATTTTTTCGGGTCGGAACCCGGCCAGAGCCCGAACCCGAATTTTTTTTAATGTCCGAACCCCACTCGAGCGCGAGACTTGGGTCGGGTCGGGGTACGGACAGCCCGTGCAGTTTTTTAATGGAAGGATATTGAAAATATGAGTTGATCGTAGGGTGTAAAGAATCTTCGGAATTACAAGGTATGTATTCAAATCGAATTATTTAAATAATTCATTTTTTTAAATATTACAAAAAAAATTCATACGAAAATATATTAACAGATTTTTTTAAAATTGTTTTTTCTTTATAAGGCACACGATTTTTTGACAGCAAATTATTTTTCACCTGAGAGAAGCCACCGGCAATTGATATACCTTATTAATCACATTATCTATCAAATTGACAGATTATAAATAGAAATGATAAATGATTAAATTTTATTTAAAAAAACATATTGATTTTAATAAAACGAACGAGTCGAATAAAACGAAATATTATTCGTTTTATTCAATCAAATAGTAGCTTATTCTTTTATTTGTTAAATAGGCCTAGTTAGGATAAATTACATGTCTTTTGGATTAAAGCAAAAATTAGAGAAAAAAAATTTCAGTTTGAAATCAGGCATGCATATAGTACTTATTCAATGTATTAGATCCAAACGCCGGACTTATTTTTTCAGGCCTAATCTGTCCCTATAAAAATAAGATTTATAACCAGACCAATCTGACTAATATTGTTTTTTTCAAAAATCCAAATTCAAATAATTAAGAAATTTATAATAAGTCCCGATATGGCGAAAAAAATGTAAAGAAAAAATATTCATTAAAAAAAGGAAAGGTACGATTTTTCAGTGAAATAAAGATTTCAGAAAAATTGTAAGCGAGCGGCGCTAAAAAGAGATAGATAAAAAAATATTTGGTGTTTTACCATTTTGCTATGCATATTATTTATTTAATACGGAATATCTTTATTATATCTACGAAATTATTATATATATAGATACTAAAAAATGTTGTAAGACAAGGGACAATAAAAAATTATCCTTACTTAAATGCAACCGCCGATGCTATTGATTTAAGACAAGCCATGAGTGGACTGGGTAAATCTAATCTACTAAACAAAATAAAGTCTACTAAATTAATTTTTTTTTAAAAAAATTGAAATTTCTTAGGCACCGACGAAGAAAAAGTTATCAATATTATGACAAAGAGATCCAATTGGGATAGGCAGCAAATCGCCGCAGCTTACAAAAATATATTTGGAAAGGTATATATATATATATAGTAATATTTATGTAGCATTTTGACTGGTAAAATATCATAATTTACATTTTCCAATATAATTTTTATAAATAAATATGAAGTTCAGAACTAAATTTTACTGCTATGAAACAAGGATTCTGCGCAGAACTGAGAACACTTTTCCCCCAAATCCGTTAAGAACTTGGGCCCAAAAATATTTCGGATTATGAACCTGTATTTATTTTTTCTTGAACTCAGTTTAGATGGGTCCAAAAATTATTATCATTTTATGATTCATTTCTTTAAAACAAAAGTTTAAAAATATATATTAAGTTACCTCCTTCCTAACTTAATTTTTAATATCATTACTCCTAATGCATTATGATACAAATGTCCTAACTTGATTAGAGTTTGTCAGTAATTAATTTTTATAGATGTAATAAAAATTAATTATTGAAAAGCTAATCCTTTTCAATTTACTTAGATCGGCTAAAACTAACAAAAAAAATCCGAAAACCGCATCGAACCCAGCAAAATATATTCGGACTCAAATCCGTGTTTGGTAATGCTTTACCGGTTTAAAATAATATTTTAATTTTTTAAAAAAATAATTTAAAAAAATAAAAATTGCCAAAACATTTTTTTTTTAGGATTTAAGTTATAAATTAAAACGGGAATTTTCCTTCCACGCATCGGAAATGTTGCAAGACCTATTAATTCCCCCCATGGATTATGATACTCAAGTTATTTATTCCTCAATAAAAGTATATTCCAAATCTTATAATTCAAATAAAAAATATTAAATTATTTTTAGGGGTTATTTACAGATTTGGACGAAATAACTGGCGTTCTTTGCTCTAAAAATAATGATCAAATTGCTGAAATCAAGAGAATCTATTTAAAAAGTTAAAAGATATTAATTGAAAATTATTTATTGTTTAACAAAGCTTAAAGGCTAATGACATAGCTACATAATGGGAAGAAGGGAATAGGGTAATATGACCCTAATTATTTTATTAAAAGTGGGAGGGGGGGGGTGAGAAAAAAATAGGAGACAACAAACTAGATTTAATTCTCAGTCCTCCTCTACACCCGAGTTTACCACATACCCGTATTCTTATTGTTAATTTAGAGGAAAAATGATTGAAATATGCTTGCTCCTGAGTCCATCTCCGTTGCAAAATTAAATGGTTCTAGAAATTTTCAATAAATTTTCATATTATTCCAGACAGGCAATGAAAAGAAAACCCCAAATAATTATAAATATTTATATATTTTTTGAAAATCGCTATTTGATTTTATATTGGTATTGGAAAATAAAAATATAAGGTATTAATTCCACTTCTAACAGCTTCCTACCTTTTGTCCTATGGAGAGCAAGATGGATTTAAATTAAATGTGTCTTTTTGTATATTTATTTAGCAGCATTTAAGATGAAATAATTGAGCTGGAAAAATTTTGATCAATTTAAAAAAATATATGATTTATAGAAATTGTCTTCAACATGGTCGTTAATTATTTTTTTTCTTAAGGGAAACAATTGAATATTTCGATCTCTTTTCATCATTTTTTTAAAAATAATTAGAATTGGTAAATACTCGAATTAGAATATAAATTATAAGTAATAATAAAAATTATGCCAATAATATAAAATATAATGAAATTGGTTAATGGCCTAAATTAGATAATATTAAACATAACTTTCAAAATGGATCACATAACATTCTTTGGTTGAATATGTTCTTTATCCATATTTATAAAATTATTGGAGCATTTAAAGATTTATTTTTTGCATTTTAAATAGGCTATTCTATTTTTTTTAAATAATTCGGTTCGAGCCGGGTCGGGCTAAAATTTTTCAATATAATATCATTACATTTTGTCAAATAAATTGATATCTTTTTAAATTGCAAGAAACAAGGCGCTAATATTTTTTATTTGTAGATTATTTATTTTACAAAAAAAAAATTAAAATTTTATATATTTAAATAAATTCAGGTTGGGTCCGGCGGACAAATAATTTTTATTTTGGGTCAGGCTTTTCGGGACATATAAAAAAAAAATCGTTCAGGATCAGGCCGGACATATATTTTGAAAAGAATTTCGGGCCGGGCTTGAAATATTACGCCCGATCAAGACTAATGTACATAAAGGATTGTTCTAAATTATATTTTAACATTCTTATTAATGATATGGAAGAATACAGTAAAGAGGAATTAATTTATCGAGAAAAAAAATCCATTTTGCAACAATATGGTTATATAACACTATGATACTCAACCGACGCATTGTAAAGAATTTTTGCTAGTAACCCGCTCTAGAATTGGTTTCCTAACAATTTTAAATAGATTTTAATTCTTATACATTATAGTTCCAGTCCCAAGGGTTATGATTCCAAACTGGCTGAAACATTTTAGGTTGGCCAAAAATGAAAAAGAGATAGAATTCCCAAATTAAAAACTGAATTCATTATTCAATTAAAATGTCTAAACCTTTGCCCTTAACAAGAGTTCGCTATGTAACCATTAATTTTTTTTAAAGTTAATCTGCTTAAATTTTATTATTTAGACATGGAAAAAAAGCCTTTTAGTTATAGTTATATCTCGTCGTAGCTCCACTAAATTAATTACGAATTTAGTCCATTTGCCCAAGTATGTCAAACTAATTTGGAATTTTTACATCCGATCAAATAGTTTTTTAAAAAAAATTTAATGTTTACATGCAAGTAATTGATAATATTAATAAACTAATTATTTGACTAAATTCGTTAGTAATTTGATTGAACTAGGACCAGTATAAAGATCTCATGAAGGGGGGGGGGTGTCACTATTAGGTGAGTTTTCTGCCATAAATGTCATTGGAGGTCCTTAGGACCCTAATTGTAGACCTTTGTCTATGTTATATGTTTTTATAAAAATAATTTCGCTTTTAACTCTTTTTTATAAAATTATTTTTTTCTAAAAATATAGTTGTTATTTTAAAAAATTATTGACTTTATTTTTCTCTCAAATAAGTGTTTATAGATATTATTGTACATATTTGAGTAAGAAAGAGGGAGGGGGGGGGGTGATATATAGGGGGAGAATTTTTATTAAGTTATAATGATATTTACGAGAACAGGCAGATTCTGATGGGAGGGGGATTCTTATCTCTTGAGTACCTGACAAGGTATTAGCATCCCTTTTTGGTAATGATTTAATTATTGTTGTTGTATGATATTAAATGTTAAAAAAAAATAGGTATTCATTTTAAAATATATTCCATTTTTTACTATTTATATGCATTTATACATAAGTAAATAAAATTTGTAACATCATTTGTTAGTCATTTAATTAAAAATCAATTGTTCCTTTTACCGTAGTGATAAGTAACTGGTCATATATGGTAAAATTGTGTATACCTTTTTTATTTCTACTTAACCAAACCAACATTGTTAACTAACTATTATAATATATTAACTATTACTTAATTTTAACCAGTATTCAGTGCAGCAAATTTTATTTAGAAAGGTGCTGTCTCTAGACCATTAATCATTTGTAGTTATAAACCTTTATGCCAACACGGCGAGATTTAGTTCTCTACCTCCTTGAAAAGATATATGGAGGCAAAGTTTTGCTATTTCCCTCTCCCTCGTTATTGTAGACTCTTGCTTTTTAAAAATCGCACTCGCTTCCTGGATACATTATAAGAAATAAAACATATAAACTGAACCAGTTTCTACATGAATGTTCGGGGAAAGAAGTCATTAGACCATATATCATTTAGGAAGATAATAATAGTCTGTATTACAACAGGCCACTTCATCTGCTTGAGCTAAACGGTATAAGTATTATAATTTCAATAAACATATATATATCCACAATGATTGATCTGCCCTTTAAAGTATCAAGACACTTGTTAAAATATAATGCTTTGGCCACCCTCACTAGCAGGGCAGGGGCGTTGCTAGGTAAGTAAATCAAGATTTTTCAACATTTTGAATCTTCTTTTAAAAAAAGGATTCTGATTCACTGAACGAAAAATATAGAAGCATTAAGGCAAATCTCTTGGGTTGGTTCTCAACCTTGTTTTTATTTTGAAACAGAAAAGCAATGCTTCATGTTCCATTTATTCAAAAATACAATTAAAGGTTTTTTTTCTTTTAATTTATTTTAAATTCAATACCAAAAAAATAAATAGAAAATATTATATAAACTATTGTCGATTTTTAAAAACAGTCCGTTTTTTTGTTCATAGGTGGCAGACAGGTTTGTTTCTATTAAAATCTCAAGGCTTACATTATTTTGGCTAAATTAATCAAACCGTTTTTAAAAATCGAACACTAGTTTAAACCAATACCAATATAATATTTTATTAATCTTGGGCTTTTAATATTTGTTCCTGCTCATATTTTGGAAGCTTGTTTATTTCATGGAAAAATCTGAAAATGCAACAAATTACTTTTATATCTTGAATTTAAAAAAAACCAATAATCACAGCCAGGGATGTGAATCCGTCAAAATTTTAGCCCGCGGTTCGGGCTCGGTTTAAAGTAAAAAATAGGTGGGTTCAGTTCAGATAAATATTTTTGAACCCGGGTTTGGTTCTGAGTTCAGCTCGGGTTTAAGAATTTCTGAATTGATAAAAAAAAATCTATATTTAAATCATAATTAAAAAACTTGACATAAATTTGGTATAAAAAATAAATTTTTTATCTTATTTATAGGCAAATATAGTTATAAAAATACAAAAGTTTACAAAAACTGTCCTATACGATTTTTAAGTTAGATTTTTTTAAATTAACAATATCTAATATAATAATTTTAACTTTGACTCACTTTTTAATCTTTGAAAATATGTAAAAAATTAAAAATAAATGGCATAAATGAATTTAATTGTTTAAAATTTATTAACATTCCAATAAGAAACTTTGAGAATAAACTAAAAAAATTTTAAAAATGGCGTAAATGAATTAAGTTGTTTAAAATACACTTCATTTTATTTTTTTTCTACTTTATTCTTTATTTTATTAAAATTTTTTTACATAAAACCTATTTAAAACAAATATAATTTATAAATTTATAATTATATAATTAAAAATAAAATTCTATAATTGAGTCCCCAAAAAGGAATCATAATTGTGTCTAAAAATTTCTATTTGAATTTTTTGTCGAATAAAAAGAAATTCTCTGGGTTCATTTGTGAAAAGTCGTATTTTATTACCCAGATTTTTTAAAAACATTAATATTGAAGGCAAAAAATGCCCGTTAGTAGAAGTCACTACTGGAGTGAATATGAAGTTTTTAAAATTTTTGTATTTGTTTGTCTTTTTAACTACTGCCTGTGTTATTAAATTGAAATTTATGTTTGAAGGGAATGATGAGACACACGTGTAATCCCATATGAGTGATTTGCCGAGGGCCCAAGGTATGGTTGTCATACCATCAGGTCTTAAACCATCTACTTGAGATAAATTTGATGGTTCAAGATTGTTTGGAATGTGTGCAGCTGTTAGGCTTCTATTTATTATATGGTTTACAGCTGAGTGGCGTTGATGTCGCCCTTGACTAAAAATACAATTTAAGCCATGTCTACTCTTTGAGTCAACGGGTGATTTGCATTTGATGCAGGCATGAGGCTGTACTATATCGCAACCTAAACGTAAACCAATGGTTACAATTAAAATATTATAAAATCTCAATTAAATTATTAATATTTGTATTTATTTACAATTATAAATATTATATGATTTTAAGCAATACACTAAACTCGGTTGAACCCTGGTTCAAATAAAATTCTCGGGTTCGGTTCGAGGTTTTGAAAATTTTATAAATAGGGTCCAGGTTCAGATTTTTTCAAAAATCCGTTTTCTTCTCTGGGTTTTGGTAAGGTTCGAATCCCTGATCACAGCATCATGAAATTTGATGCTTTCATTCTTTTGATTAAAAAATATACTTTATGGTTTATACCTAATAATGTATGTATATATACCACTAGATTAGCGATTCCTTGATGCTGTAGCGTCATTTTATGTTTTACCGGGTAACTAATTGACTTAACATTTATATGAATGACATTATGTCATTCGACGTGAAAACATAAAATGACACTCAGGCTGACTTATATTTATGTAAACTTTTAAATGCATTTAATGAATGAATCACCAATCGAGTACTCATTGTTTAGATCACGATTGAATTATTTTTCTCAATAATAATTACTCTAATGACAAACTTGATTTTCTTTTGACTAAACTTTAAATTCACTCCCCTTTAATCAGTTTTGAAATGTTCTTCAAAATAAACAAATCTTCAAATATTTTTGATCTCTGGTAAATTTTTTCAGAATGCTCAATAGGATTATCTAAAATTCTAGATTTTTCTAAATAAATCTTGTGATTCTTTGTGCATAAAAAATATTTTATGATGAAATCACAAATTTTTTTAAAAAATTTCTATTTTGTGATCTTCAAAGATTTTTTGCTCAAATTGTGCAAAAAAGTCCAGAAATCTTTATAAAAAAATTTCAATATTAACCAGTATTTTTTGCTGTGATCCAAACTGAACCTTTTACCGTTATTTTTTATCGAACTTGAATCGTTAAATGATTTTCTGTCCCAGCCTGAACCACCAAAAATGCATGTGAACCGGTTCGAAACTCATGGTCTTATGCTTATAAAATAATGTGAAAGGTTATTTCCAGTAAATTTCAAAAATTCTAATTCGTATCCGAATTGTTTTAAAATTGATTGATAAGATAGTCATAGTTTTCATAAATTTTTGTATATATATTGCTATTTACTACATTTTTTCATTATTTTTAACTTCCCCTTTTTATTAATTAAATTTTAAAAAAGCTTATTAATGGCTAGGGATAAATTAAATACAATTTATAATAAATAGTAGTATTACAAATGATATATTTAAATAAACATGGAATTAAATTGTTATAAGAGCGGAAGATTCTAGTAAAAATAAAGCAACATCAATGAATGGATCTTTATCTGAAAATGATTTATTAATAAGTTTTCTTTAAGAAAAGGATGACATAAACAATCTCTATTAGAACGATCAAAGATAATTAGAAATATTTTAGTTGATTAATATATATTAGATTATTGGCAAAATCGTAGTAATCGATTCCACGAATTATATAAATTGTCTAATGTTATTTAGTGTCGGCTACTCAAGATAGCATAGAGATGTTTTTCAATATTATAATTTAGGATGCAATTTGACTAAAGTGAAAAATATTTTAATTACATCTCAATAATATTTTTTTTAAGTAAATAATGTTCAATACTGCAGTTAAATTATGTTTTTGTTATGATGTATAAATTAGGTTATATTTATCATGTGCAATAAGAAAATAATCGTGTTATATTATGTTTTTAATGATGAAATAAAAAAAGTACTTCTATATATAAAATTATTATGCATGCTTGTATACAAATGGTGTTTAGAGGTTAAAACCGAACCGATGCTTATTTTAGAAGAACAGATGAATCGTTTTTATCGGAACTCGAACCGAAATTGGTTTTGGTATGGATCCTTGATTTTTTGGTCATTTAATGTACGACTAATTGATCCTTTTAATGTAAGCGATAAACTTATTTCTTTTAAACACTCTTTGACTTGTTTTTTTGGATGTATTTTACCCTTATATTTAGTGCTGTAAACGTTACTTCAAAAAGAAACATGCTACTCATTACGTTTGAAAAAAGGAACGCGTTAATCGTTACTTAAAAAATATTATATAAATTATTTATTTTCCCATAGATAATGAAAATAAAATTTAAAAAATATATATATTTTATAAGATGATTTTGTATTTTATTTATTTTTACTAACGATTTATTTTCAAAATTTTGATCAAAAAAACAAGAGCGCTTGTTCAGCACAGCTTTTGCTGTGTCAAACACATGTTCAACTTACGCGGAGGATGGGAAATTGTATTATATTTAATAAATAAAAATTTTAATTGGAGGAATTTATTATAATTATCTAAAGAATAATCTTAACTTTCAGAAATTTTTATTAAATCATCTTCATTCAGATTCTGATCAAATTTTTTTTATATTTAACATAATTTAATCTAATTTCATATTTCTACCTTCACATGCTTTTTTAGATTTGAGCTGCTGGACATCGAGGTTGAAAGAGGACCCACTAGCACTACACTAAGTAGAGATTTAGTGCCCTTAATTTTCTTTATTTGCGTAAAAAATGTTTTATACTGGGATCAGGGCAAAGTTAAATCATCTTCACCTGAAGAAATAAGTGCTATTGACATGTATTCTTTATAAAATAAATTATAATATTAGAGAATAAATTAACATCCCTAGATCGATTCAATATTTATTAGATTAACAATCTTGTAAAATTCAAAAGAAAAAAGTAATAAATAATATAAAAATGAAGAACTTTTGTGATTGATGTGAATTAAAAACTCGGCTTAAATTATTTATAAAATCTTTAAAAATATATATATAATAGAATAAATTTCTTCAATATTTTTTAAGAAAAAATTTAAAGAACGAGTAACGTCTTGTTTAATCGTTACTAAAAAAGAAAAGCGTTAGTAACGAAGGGCGTTCTCTTTCCCCAAAAGATAACGTCGTTACTTTCATCGAACTTACTTTACAGCACTACTTATATTAGTGAATTGAAAGACAAAAGACAATATATAAAATATCATAAAAGTGATTTATGAATCGATTAGCAAAAGGTGAGGTCTAAATTTTTTTTATAAAAGATTAACATTATAATTCTCTATATTTTATAGAATATGCATGGACAATTCAAGAAGCTATAAAAAGTGACACAACAGATCCAGTATTGAATCTTTACTTGTTAATGTTGAATGTAAAGAGTATTTACCCATTGTTTTTATAAACATATATTTTTATATGATCTTAGACACCACGTCAAATCGGTATACATTATGATCAAATTGAAGAAGATGCTAAAGTAAGGATGATCAAATCATAACTTATGGATCATATACATATTTATTTAAGCCTAATCAAATAAAAAGCGAATAATTTACCTTAATTTAGTGTTATTCACATAGATGTACAACTTATAATAGATAGAATATATAATGTAAATTAGAGATCTGCAAATCACGGCCAGACCCGTACCCAGTGGTCTATTTTTTAAAAATAATTTCGGTTCGGGTTGGGCCAAATATATTTTAAAAAATTTCGGGCCAGGTCGGGCTTAAATTTTTAAATATGATATCAATGCATTTTTAAAATTCTTGCAAGGAACAAGGAGTTAATATTTTTATTCGTAGAATATTTATTTTACAATCAAAAAAATATTAAATTTTTCTATATTTAAATAAATTCGGGCTAGGCGGACAAATAATTTTTATTTCGAGTCGGGCTTTTCCAAATTTTTTTTTTAAAAAGGCCGAGCTTGAAAAATTTGACCCGATGCAGATCATTAATGTAAATTGCCCATAAATATTATAAATAAAATAATTTGCAAAAGAGTTTTAAATCATTTTTTTTAAAAATATTAATATTTAATCGACTATTCTTATTCAAACAAATCGCTTAATTTACTATTCAATTCGAATTTCGTTTTGAATAGTCCTAATATTCAGCGATATAGAAAGTGTAAACTACTTAGAGTGTCTGATTTTTTTTAAAATGACGTTTTATTTATTTACCATTAAAAAATCAAGCTAATCATGGCAACAGATATCCAACATTTACATGCAGACAATTTGTTATTTAAAATTTTAACTTTCAGAAGCAAAGATCACATAGTTAAAGTATTAGACGCTTACCAAAGGTTGGCAAAAAATGGCCTCCATTCCGCTTTAGACCAAGACATTTCAGGGGCAATTACCAAACAAGGAAAAGCGGTCAGGACGGTTAAAAACTTAAGTATAATTTACGAGCACAGACAAAACTTTAATATTTTTTTCTTCTTCTAATATCAAGTTGAATGTTACAGCTCGCCTCCACGTTTTTATGCTCAGCAAATATATAACGCCGTCAATGTAATTTTTAAAAAATACGCCTTTTTTAAAATAATTATGTATATCATTGGAATTTTATTTTTATTAAAGAGATTGGGTACGCGGGATAGAAATTTGTTCAGACCTATTATAGCCAGAAGCGAAATCGATTTGGAAGAGATCAAGAATGAATTTAGAGAAATCGCTGGAATGGAACTTCAATCTAAAATTGAAGTCTGCAAATATTTTTTAAAAAATAACAATTTTCATATGGATGCACTCTAATTTTATATAATTTTTTTTTGCATATAGGAAGAAACATCTGGATCGTACAAAAAAGTATTAAGAGGAATACTAGAAGGCAATAAGAAAATTATCAATTTACAAACCTAATTATGGTTGTTTTTGTAATCATCCAAAATTCACATTTTTTTGAATCAAAACTTTTTAAATTTAATTTTTATGCGCACATACCTAATTATGGTTGTTTTTGTAATCATCTAAAAATATTTTTTTGTATCAAAAATCTCTTTAAATTTAATAAAATTGATTTTTATATCAAAGTTGTCAAATGAATAAATCATGGCTTTTAAATAATTTATTTTTTTAAAATAAATCAATATATATATATGAAATTAAAATTCGTTTTGATAGATTCCGTATTATATTAATATATATAAATAAGATTCAGTCGTTTGCGGTTCCTTGAAACTTGCAAAGATAGTGTAACGGTATCAATTGTATATCCTCTTCCTCTGTTAAAAAAAATATATTGTATAATGGTGGTAAATGCACCACATAAAATTTAGCTTATACCTTCAACTATCTTAACAACTCCGTCTTCACCTTCAATGTTGATTAATTTACCGAGCATATCTCGAAACTCGCCACAAAGCACTTTAACCTTTTTAAATGTTTAATGAAAAAAATATTACTATTCATCTGAAACAAATAAAAAAAATCGAAAAAAACTGTTTTGAATATTCAAAAACATTTTTTTTAAAGCATTAATAATTAGAATATCAAATCAAATAAACTGTTTTGTTAGTTTTAAATCAAGTAAAGTAAAATCTATTACGTTTTTTTATGATATTTTCAGCTCAGAATAAATTTATTTTAAAATGTACTTTATCATTTATATTTGGCAACACAGGTTCTAAATCATGCGATAAGATACTTATCGTCTTTTCATCGTCTGGTAAAAAGAGTGAACACATGTTATTCTGTTAATTTATAAATAATATTAATATTATAAACTTAAAATAGTAAAAATTAATCACAATTCGTGGTTAAAACTTATAATAAAATTAGAAGCTATCTGAATCTGATATACCTGCAAAAATGTGAATATAATCTTTGCATTATTCGTACTGAAAATTAAATTCTTTATAAATATTTTTAAGAATGAATAAGGATTAAAATTTAAAAAAGTGATTTATCGATGTGAAAATAAGTTTAAAAAATGTAAAGTCCTGCAAAACATGTTAAATACTTACAAATAATTTCGAATATTTAAGAATAATTCAATCGAATAATGGATAAAAATTATTCAATGAATGTATTCATAAAAAAAGAATCAAATCGAATAATAACAAATAATTCATTTTATGTATAATTCGAATCTATGAAACGAACATTATAATTAGATAATATTATGTGAAAATGTTCAGGTCCACTGAGTAATGAAAAGTTTAAATTTTTTTAGATAACTACTGACACTTATGTATTATAAACATAATATAAGAAGTACAATTGGGTAAATTTATAATTTAAAATTTACAGAAACGCCTCTTAGTATTCCAATGTTTCCAGTCAATTGCGAATCGTGGTAAGATTCCTTAATCTTAACCACCAAATCATTCGTTGCCCAGTCTAAAAAGTTCTCAGAAGCTAAGAATATAAAAAAAGAGAAAATAATGTTTATTTTAAATATTGTTTCTAATTTCTTTTCTTTCAGAAAAGATTTTATAGTTAGGAGTGCAAACATTTTTCTTACGATTTAAACTTAATCATGAAAACTCTAAAAGTATTAGTTGATTTAGAACAAGAAATATATTGTGATATTATTTTAATATGTAAACATCTTCCAGGTGTCATGGGATAAGGGGAAGGTCCAGCGCCGTAGGGGGTATAGGACGAAGCCGGGGAATCGTATCGGTCAGCTGCAACAGGAGTGTCCGGGATTTGCAGGGACGGCGTCGCCGATGCTGAATGGTCGTAACGTGAAGGGGAAGGCGTGAAGGAGGAATTGGAAGACAACATAGGAGGCACTATTATGTTAAAACATGTTTTATTTATATAGAAATAAGAAAATAAATATTATTTTTTTTTAAATGGAGTTAAATAAATTACAATAATTGAAATCAAATAAATAATCAAATTATTTAATCTATCTCATGGGGTCTCAAGCACCTGCAAAGTTGCCGGGAGTTCTATTGCCTTCGTGCAGCGGAGTCATATTTGCAGCATAGTGAGGTGTCCTGCTCCCTATAGTGATTATGAAACCAAAATGTTAATTATTTCATTTACTTGTAATAAAAAAAAGAAAATACTAAAACTGCACACATTCTTATATTTTTAGTTTGAGTAAAGAGTGTAATAACCTTTTCTAGAGCGTTATAAAATAATATATGTGGTTATTGGTTGAGTAATATAGTGCTTTATAGCCACTTTTCTGCAAAATGTATTATTTTAAAATCTATTTTTCAGTACTGTATCACCTTCTAGGTTTTTATATCATTTATTTTAATTATTTAAAACCTTATTATTTTCTAGGTTTACACGGGTCTTAAACTTCCAGTAATGACTCATGACATTTTACGTGAAATTTCTAGCATATTGTCTACATGCTAAATTAACTACATTGTCAACAGTAAATACTTATAGATAAGTTTATAATCTGTACATCACAAGATTAGTTCGTATGCCTTCCTTCAGTCTTTGCATAAAATTTTATCTGTCATTAAATCTTCTAATTTTTTTTAATAATTAGCAAAAGAAATTTTATTTAAATAAAACCGAAAATAAAGAACCAAAAACAAAAATGTTAAATTTTTGATTGAACAAAATAGCAATTCTTTAAAAAATTTAAAAACAAGTTATTTAAAATGAGGACCCTTCTTATAGTAATCACCTAATCATAATGATTAGTTTATAATGAACAACTCCCGATGATCATTCTAGATTTTGGTCATTATAAAGCTCTCATCTTATATTCGGTGTTTTAAGGCGTTGGGGAAAAATAATAATCTAGTAGAAAAAAAACATCAAGAAATATTATTATTTATTTTTGAATTATTAACCTTTTTTCTTCCTTTTTTTTAAATAGCTTAAATAAGTAAACACAAACAATTTTTTATATTCATTATCAAAGATAATGCGCGATTACGATTACGACTTTGCAGAGAACACATCAAATCGAGATTTGTCCGATAAAAATGAAGATTTACGAAGCGAACTTCTATTCTAACGAAGACCATAGGATAAACGCTGGTTAGATGAGATATGTGAGGGAGGGGAGGGGGGTTCCAATCCCATCACATATTTGTTCTTGTAAATATCATTTTAAGCTAATAAAAATTTCTCCCCTGCACACCCACACCCTTTTTTCAAAAAATGTATATAATATATCACTACAAGGAAGAATTTGAAAGTTAGTAAATGTTAATAACTTTTTAAATAAATCTAAAATTAAGAATTTAAAAAAAAGAACCCCAAAATTATTTTATGGAAATTGAATATAGCCAAGCCTACAATAAGTGGACAAAGATCTCCAATAAAATATTTAGGAAACCCACCCCCCTAGAAAATCCTGTATGCCTATGCCTTCTAAAGATAAAATTATTAACAATAAGTATAATATATCTATACTTTTAGCAAAGGCAAAAGAAGAAGTTGAAAAAATATAATTATCTGATGCTAGTTCAAGTGAAGATGAAAATATTAAGATTCTAAATTTTTACAATTATATTCATAAAAATAAATAATTATAGGGTAAGGCTAAAGGGGTTCAAGGTCTTATAGAAATAGAAAATTTAAACAGAGTTAGAGCTACTAAGAAACCAGAAGAAGTGGATCTCACAACAAAAGTTCAATTATCACGAAAAGAAAGGTGAAATATTAAATTTTTATGTACAATTGTTTATTTTTTTTATAAAAACAAACCAACTTTATGCTATATGACAATATAAAACAAAGAGGATTGGGCAAATTTTTGAAAAATAATTTTATTTTAAAAAAATATATAAATGCATTAAATATAATGTTAAAACAAAAAAAAAGAAATTAAATATTTAAAAAAATATTAATATGGACAATATTTAGAATTTCTCGTGAGATAAATTTTTCTTCCTATCTCTAGGAAAGAAAGTGCTTATAGCCAGAAGTTTCCGATGATTGATGTGACAACAGAAACTAAATTAATATTGTTTAACTTTGAATGTTTGTCTAATTTTTCGGTCACTGAAAGAGTTTTTGTGGGTGTTAGATTTAGTGAATAAAGTATATTCCAAGATAGGGACCTTTAGAGAGTCGACAGAGTAATGATTGGTGTTCATTTTCTTAAATTTTGATGTTGCAAAGAGAACTGGTTAATAGAAAAACGATTACAACCAGAACGAAGAATAATTGATATTCTTAATTGTTTGAAAGATAGATGTAGACTAGAGGTCTGCATTGGGCGGGGTTTCTGCCCAGAATTAATTTTTAATTTTGTGGAGGTAAATAAAATTTTATATGTATACCAATAGAAAAACTATCATTATTCCTATGATCCTCACTTATTACTGGGAGGGCAAAAAAATTTTTAAGAGTGGGCAGGCAGGCGGCCGGTTAAAAATTTTTTAATCTATGGGCGGGTGAGTGGACGGGTTAAGACATTTTAAAAATGGGAGGATTTTTAGAACAAAGAACGTGTTTGAATCTAGAAAATCTCGATTCATTATTATTTTTGCATTATAATTAATTATATATATAATATCAATTTTATATTTATATTTTTTTCATAAATATTTTAAATAAATTATCCATAATTTAAATTGAATATTACTTTGTGCTTAATATAGTAATTTTTTCCAATTCTAAACGGCATTTTATCCAAATGCCATAAAAATCGGAGAGGTACAATTGCTCCGATTATAGTCTCAAGGTTGTCACCTTAGTGGTTTCAAAATTTCAGTTATGTTAGCTATTGAATCCCATTCTGTTTCCATTTGAATAACTTCCGATATTGTAACAAAGTCCATATAAAAATCTTTCAATTTTAAACAATCGATCTAACATATCCTAAATCGATGACCCTTTTGTTGTACAAACAATTATTGCCATATTTTTTCAGTGATTTTAAGATTCTAACGATTGTTGGAGTTCTCAAAAATTCTACCACTTGCCTTTAGGTCAATAATTGATTTCGCATAACTTGTCTTTAAAAAAAATCATTAATACTAACTATTGTGTTGCACATCTAATGCTATAAACTTTTGGTGTTATCTTTCAACATCTGGTCTAAATCTACTTCTTCATTTATTATATCATCATTCACATCATCTTCATCCCAATTCTCCCCTTCCACAGATTCATTTAATAATCTTATAGATTTTTGTTAAATTTTGCATCATTATTGGTTGTTATAGAGTATAGGTTGTTTAATGAAATGACGAATTTGAAAAAATGATCAAAAAATGTTTTTTATTAAATTTATATTTTTTTAATTAAAAAAACAATTGTTTTAAAATTAAATTACAATTTTTATAATATATTATATTCAACATATTTTTTAAATTAAATAAAAGTTAAATATAAAAAAAAAAGCTTGGACCCTGAACCCTAAATTTAAAAAAAGGGTTAGGATTAGGGTTCAGCAAAATATCAAGGGTTCGGGTTCCCAGCCCTACATAAAAGCCCCAAAACTAATCTTTAATATGGAGGATAATATATAAAATGCATAAATTTTAAAAGAGAAAAACGTGAAGCTTTAACATGTGTCTTTAGAAGCATTACTATAATATGAGAATTCAATCATCACATGATATGAATCATATACATAAAGCTAATATATTGGCAAAATTGGTAATTAAATAAACCGTCAGGTTGGGGTGTTTGTGAGCCATATACTGGTGTTTTAGAACCTATTCCGTACATGGGCGTCTGTCCTCCCATCATAGGTGTTCTTCCGTAGGCGGTAACGCCTCCACTTATGATTTTGTCACTATTAGTAAAAAAAATAGGTGCAATTAAGGTTAAGGTTAGTTAAATTATATACCACTCTCTAATGGTCTTAAAATGACCGGCTCAAATCGGGCGTCAACAGAAATATATATATACAAACAAACAAATAATGGTAATAAATTTAAAAAAAAAACAACATACGTAATGCTGGCGATCCTGACTCTATCAACGTTTATGGTTTGGCAATTGGAATGTAATTCTACCCTAGATGTTGTCTCCGTAGAATCCTTAACTATTCCCATGTGACCTTGGAATCATAGAGAGAATATATATTTTTAATAAAATAAATAGTAAAAAAAATAAAATGACACCCCCCCCCCCCTACATTATGTATATGTATACACTATCTATTATAATTATTATACTTGCTACAAATGTTACCTTAAATTGGGCAATGCGTTACTTTGCAGCCTTACTAATTATATTATACTTTAAAGAATTAAATGAGTAAAACATTCGCTTTTCCTCAGTCCATATCTCTATATACTTTTAACTACATCCTCTTTTCCTAAGATACTTGCTCGAGGAGATTGGTTTCAGGAGAAAGAAATATGGAACACTATAATTCAGCCGATAATTATGTCTAAAGAATCTTAGAAATTGTGATGTAATATGAACTAGAAATTGACACAAACCAGCTTGTGTCTTGGATATGATTTTCGGACTGGGCTGAACAAATTGTTCAAAAATTTTGTTACGGATTGGGCCATAAGTTTGAAAATGTTTTTAAAGCTGATATTAGGAAAATTTAAGTCGTCTTCCTTCATACAAAATTTATTAGAGCCGATAAAAAAACTAATATGGGAAAAACCTTTGTAAGGACCGCTGATAATCTTGACCGTCTGTCCAATCATAGAATTGTCACGGGTGGTGTGAGCCCCAGCCCTACGGTGGAAAGCATTGGTTGGGGAGCCTGAGAGCGAATCCTAATTTGCGCAATTTTTAAAAAAATAAATAATTATTTTTCGTGAACGTTGGCGATTATTTAAGAGTTTCTTTATTTCAATAATGTTACCTGCTATCGCTCATATAAATAGGACAGTGGTAAATTTTAAGTATAAAATCGAAAAATTAATTTTGACAAGCCCTACATATCATTTTATAAAAACAGACCAAAAAGACTTTAATTAACTTTTTTGGGAGAAAATCTCTATATCAAAATTTTTGAAGCTTGTAAAGGTGCTCAATTCAAAATACAAGTATGAAATATGATTAGTTGATTGACAAAGTTTTAAGAACGAGAATAAATAACGAAGATTAATAAGCGTCATTTCTTTGTATAAGATATCTCCTAGTTTGGAAATCTAGACGGAAAGGGGTTCGTTTCTGTTTATATATTTTTTTGAAAAGAGTGGTTCTGATTCCAGTTCCTAAAATTTTTTCAAATGGGTTCAAGTTTCAAATAGAATCCCTTAACAAGAGATCTGCAAATCACGGCCAGGCTCGAACGGGTTTCGGCCAGGGCCAGGCTTATTTTTTAACAATAATTTTGGTTTGGGCTAGGTCGGGTCTAATATTTTTCTTAAAAAGTCGAGCCGGGTCAGGCTTAAATTTTTAAATAAGTTATTAAATTTTATGAAACAAATTGATATATTTAAATATTCTTGGAAGAAACAAGGCGCTAATATTTTTGTTTGTAGAATATTTTTTTTAGAATAAAATAAAACATTAAATTTTTCTATATTTAAATAAATTAGGGCCGACAAATAATTATTTTTGTTTTGGTCAGGCTTTTCGTGACAAATAAGATAAAACTTCGTTCTGAATAGGGCTGGGCAGAACAAATATTTTTTAAAAATTGGGCCAGGCCTAGCTTGAAAAATTCAGCTCGATGTAGATCACTAATACACATACCACATTAATATATTTTTTTTACATCTTAATTACGTGGTATGTATCTCTAAATACACATATATTTTATTATTTTTTTAAGGGACAAAAAAAATATTTTATGTATAAAATTGTTATAAATAATCTTTATTAGTGTGTTAAATTTTTAAGTTTTAAGGTATGTGAACCCAGATATATTAAGTTAAAACGTATTGTCGAGGATAGTTCTGATTCTAATCTTATTAGCTCATCAGGTGAGGAAGTTTTGTTTCAAGTTCAACAGATGTTGATTACATAGGTATATTAAATAACATGATTTTTTTTATTATTTAGATGATTCTGATAATGATGAGCAACCAACTATGATTCGAAAGGATTATAGAAAAATTCAATGGAAAGAATCTACAACCAATATGCCTATGACGATTCCCAAATGGAAGGGAACTGAATATGTTATCCCCAAGAATATTCTGAATCCAACTTTTTACTATGAAATTTCTGGATATGATTATTGATATTATAATAGATCGATCTAATTTATATGCTATACAAAAAACCCCTAATTCTACTCTGAATATGAATAAAAATGAACTGGACAATTTATTGAAATTCCCAAGATCCAGCTTTAAAAAAAGATGGGAGCAAATAGAAAGTTCTCTTCAATTTAACTATAACACTACACCTATATTAGATTCTAGAATTTGATCTTTTATTTAAAATAAGGCTTACCCCCAAGATTTCCGAAAATATTTTCAAAAGAAATTCCTATGAGGAATCGCTATGTGTTGATAACCAAATTATTTTCTATGATGAAATTGTAAAATAAAAATATAACTCAAAAACCAAAAGATTGAGATTATAAAGCATTTCTATTATGCCGTGATGAAGGGGTTGTTTACAATTTTAAAATATGTACTGGTAAAATTGAAAAAGTATATGGATTTCCCACTATTTGAGCTAGTGGAAGTGCAGTATTTTAACATTTGGCAAATGCACCACTAAATTCCAATTATAATGTTTTGATAAATTGGTTTAGTGGGATAAAGGTTCAAGTCTTACCCGCCCAAAGGAATTTATTGTATTGCAAAATTGAATATATAAAATTGCCATTTTCCAGCGAACAAAAAAGATGAGGCGCCGATCTTTTGTAAAAAATTAAATACCATTAAATGGCTTGATAATAGATCTGTATCATTTTTGCAATGTCTCTTATCATGGGAATTTCTTTCAAAAAAAATTTGGAAAATAGGTGTAATTATTATCATTAAAATGAAATGAGGCTTTTATTTTCCCTCATTTTTTTTTGAAAATAACATTGGGTACTGATAGCTACCTTGTATGTGCTGACCAATGGTCCTTGGGAGTTTCACGTTAAACATGTAAAAAACAATTCTAATAAATTGTACCAGTTCATTTTTATTCATATACAGAGGAGAATTGGGGGGGGGGGTTTGTGTAGCATATAAATTAAATTGATCTACTATAATATCATAATCTTATCCATAAATCTTATAAAGTAAAAATGGGGTTCAAAATATTTTCGGCGTATGTTTTCTTCCATTTGGGAATAGTCAAGGGCATATTGGTTGTAAGCTCTTTAGATCTTTCTATGCTTATAAATTCTTGGTTTGTATAGACGAGATTGTGTAATCTCTAAAATTTCCAATAAAAGAACAAATGCCTTTATTATCATTTAGAATTTCGATAACAAAGAACCCGTGTACAAAAAAAAGTGCCAATTAATGCCAAATATAGAGAAAATGAAACATGGGGTCGATATAGGTCTTATTCTTGAGAAAGAAACTAAGACATGATTTAATGTCATATTGGCCTAAAAATAGTATAAAGGTGCAGTGCAAATATGTCTTTTTTTGTAATAAGTTTGAAATTTAAAAAAAAGAATATCTTTTACATACGCATTGTGTATTTACATAAACACACTGAAATAATTTTGGGCAGCTTTAGAAATTTTCCTGGCACATTTCGATGGCAAAAAAGAGGCAGAGGATGTGGTAGATGTTAAAAGTTTGAAAAATATTGAAGGAAAAATGGTGATTAGATAGTAGTGAATTAGAACACTTAGAAAATCTACATGGAAGGACTTTTGAATAAAGAGAATGAATGGGATAATGATGTTAGTTGTTCAAAGGTAGAAAGTCCAGGTGAAAATATGGCAAGGACGTAATTAAAAGAACATTGAAAAGGATGAAAAAAATGCAGCGGGTTTAACGAGTGGTATCTGAAATATTTAAAGTTTCTGATGACTTTGAAAGGTTAATGAATTTAGCCAATCTAATTGTAACAGAAGGAACTATTCCAGAGGATTAACGAACAATAGTAGAACTATTCCAGTAAGGTGATCCTTTAGATTGCGGGTCTTATAGAGCATTTAAACTCTTGGAACATGCAATGAAAGTATTTGAGAAGGTGTTAGAGAAGAGAATAAGATAACAAACGAAAATTGATGAAATGCAGTTTGGTTTTACACCAGGGAAAGACACGACAGGTGTAATGAGAAAAAAATACAGGAGAAATATCTTGCAAAGGAAGAAACTGTATTATGCGTTTGATTTGAAGGCATTTGACAGGGTGCCGCGCGAGGTTGTGGGAGCACAAATTGCAAGATGGACGATGATGGAGATAGTGAAAACTTTGAAATGAAGGTAGGACTTCATCAAGTATCCATGCTGAGTCCATTATTATTTTTCTTAGTAATCAATGTGGTGGCTAGAGAGGTGCGTGAAGGACTTCCCTGGGAGCTATTATATGCAAATGACTTTGTATTAATGGCAAACAGTAAGGAAGAATTGAAGGATTAAATTAGTAGATTGAAGATGGCTATGGATGCAAAGGGCCTGAAAATGAATGCAGTAAAGACTAATGTGATAATTGGTGGAAATAATCTGAAGATGGAGGAATCCAGCAACTGGCCTTGTGGTGTATGTGGAAAGGGAGTTGCTAGAAATTCAATTGAATGGACCAGATACCAGAAATGGGTGCCATAATATAGCAGGAAAAGGGAAGTTTGATATTAGTAAGAATGACCTTTATTTGTAGAAAGTTCATAAAAGGGGTATATAATACTGATAACGTATAAAATGGTGATTTAGATATTGGCAATGGGTTAACCCTGGGAAAAGTTTTGCTATTTGAGTGTGCTAAACGCAGATGGTGGTGTAAATTCTGTTGTTGTTGCAAGGGTCAGACAAGCATGGAATAAGTTCAGAAAGATGTCTATTCTAATAAATAAAAACGTTACTTTGAAGTTAAAGGGGAAAGTTTACGTAAGCTGTGTGAGGAGTGGGCAATTAAAGAGACCCAAAAAGCCAAATTAAAAAGATAAGAGATGAGGAAGATTTGATGGATGCGTAGAGTGTAAAAAAAAACTAGCAAGGAATTGCGAGAAAGAATGAGTATAGAAGTGTCTGGAGTGGTAATGCGTAGAAATAGACTAAGATGGTTTAAGCAAGTGGAAGGTAAGACAAATGATGACTTAGTAAAGATATGCATTTTGATGGAAGTAGGAAAATCAAGACCTAGAGGATCGCCCAAGATGACATGGATAAAGGTGATAGCGGCAGATATGAGAAAAATGAATCTTACAAATATTGATGCACAGGACTGTCAAAAATGGAAATGAAAAATCAGAGAGAAAACTGGCCAACCTGGGTAAAATTAAACGGAAAAGAAGAGGAGCTAGTTAAAGACAAAAATAATGTTTTTTTAAATGTCATTTGATATGCCACCGGAATAGAGGTTTAAATCTAAAATGAATCATACAACATTTATAATTAATTGCATCCTTGCTAGAACCAGCCTAGAACCGGTTAGTGGAAATTTTAAAATGTTTTCGACTCATATAAATTTTAAAAGTTTCCTATTCCAAACTCCGATTATAATTAATTTATTCAACTTGTATAATTTTTTAAAGAAAATAAAAAGCAGTCTTGGAGCGGCGCTACATTTTTTCAAAAAATGAGGAGCGGGAGTAGCTCCTTTTAGGGCTGGAGCGGAGGAGCGATAAATTATATTATTTTTTAAATATTAATAATATTTGTTAATTAAAATTTAATGAAAATAAAATTTTATTTTATTTAAATTTATTCATTATTAAATGTTGAGCCGAGTTTTATATTGATTTTTCATCTAATCATTTGAAACATTAAACATCAGTTTTTCCTTTTTATATTGAAAATTTTTTGAAAAATCTTGTAAGTCATATTAATATTCATTTTATAGATATATAAATTGGGAATGGATAAAAGATCCAAAAAATATGGAACTAAAAGCCAGATTAATTAATTTTTTAAGGAAACAAATACCCGACGGAAAAATAGTTACAACTAGTTCACGGGAACCTTGTAATGATTTGGAAGATTTCTTTGGATTCCATAAAATCGATTACCATGAAAATAATATATTGGATAGACATTTTTTAAATAATGATAGCAAAATTACTATTTTTGAACATTTCCATGAATTAAAAAATATTTATATTAAATACAATACCCCGCTTCCCTCTAGTGCTCCTGTGGAGTGCCTATTTAGTATCGCAAAACAGGTCTTAGGGGAGAAGCGTGGGTGTTTGTTAGATTCTAATTTAGAAAATTTATTACTTTTAAAAGCTAATAAAAGATTATAAATATTTTGATATATCATATAATATAAATAAAACGTTTTGATAAAAAAATATGATTTTGTTTCGTGTACCTTCTAAAAAAATGAAAATCAAAGGAGCGGTTATGGAGCGGCACTCCATTAGTTGGAGAGGGAGCGCTCCTTTTAATATGTAGTAGCGGGAGTTCGCTCCTTTTGAGAAGGTAGGAGCGGGAGCGGGAGTCGCTACTTTTAAAAAGGAGCGTTAACAAGACTGATAAAAAGTAATCAATTTAAAAACAATAATATAAATTTTTTTAAAATTCTATAAAATCATTAATAAAATTCATAAAAATTCCGATAGAACTAAATAGCCCCTTTTTAGTCAAATGGCGCCCTTTTTGGGAGGCATAAAAAACACAAACTTCTGATATCTTAGAATAATTTTTTATAAAACCCGCTCTCTACATAAAAATTTATGCCTGTTATATTCTTTTTATAAATATGGCAGTAATAAAAAACATTTGTCCTTTTTTCCACCCATATTCTTTTTAAACTCTATGTTATTATAAAAGAGCAGACACTATGTGACTGAAAAAAAATAATTTATATTAATTATCAAATAAAAACTAAAACTACTTGACTAAAAGGATCATTGTTTCTTTGAGGACTAGGGCTGATTCTAGGTGACATGGGCACAAAATGTCCCAAGGAACCAAAAGGGTCATCAACTCTATTCATTGGCTTAATTTCGATATTTAAAAAAAAATATATTTATGATATCTTAAATTAAATGAATTAGAGTACCATCAACAGTATAAAGAAACAGCATACGCTGTAAAATATTATAAATTCAAAGATAATAAAAAAAATCTTGGTTATAATTCATTGTTTGGTAGACAGGCTCTCGTAAAATTAGATGTATAATATATATACAAAAAAAACCTTAGAACTTCCACCGACTAAAGACAGATGTCTAGCTCTACACAGGAATATGCCGGCACTTTCGGTGTGAAGCTTTGAGTGTAAGAATACGAAGCTTCTAAATATGTGCTCGATGGTGCCTTCTTTGCCCTTTAAAATATATTTCGAGTTATTTTTTAAACACTTAGTGGGTAACGTGAGAAAAAATAAAGAAATATGAATGGTAATGCTATTTTAAAACTATCACAATCCACTTGAATATTAATGATAAGCTTTGATCACGTAAATTAATTTATAATAATTTATCATATAAAGGTATGCCAGATTCAACTACATCTTGAAAGTTAAAATATTCATAAACAATATAATAAAAGTGTCTTAATCGTTAAATAATATAAAAGTGTCGATTCATTCCACTATCAAAAACTTATTTAAAAAATTTTTGATTGAGTATATGATCTTTTTTAGAAGTATAAATAAAATGTTTCTGACGTCTGATATCAATTCTTTGCATTAATATTATTTCTGTATTCGTCTCACCACATCCCTACACTTCCCTGTTTATCCTCAATGGCCATTTTTTTTAATGAGTTACTGCTTATTTATGAACTTTATAGAAATTTCACTATAAAATGCATAATTCAAATAAAATTGAAACCAAATGATATGCCTGAAAAACAAAAAAAAAACTAAATTTCAAGAACAAAAATTGATATTAAATATTAAAAAAAATTGTATCTTATTTATTTATGTTTGACCTTGTGAGGTCCATCGCAAATTTTGATGACATCCTTGGCCTGGAGTCTATTCTCAGCAGAGTCTAAACAAACAGCTTTGCTCGTATCTTTCTTGCGCAATATTGATTGGGGCTTGACTCTTACCACCTTGCCGGCAGTGTTGAGAATTTGGAAAATCTCTTTTTCTATCCTCACTATGACACCCACGTGTTGCGGACTTAAATATTTTTTTTTAAAAAAATATTTATTTTGTTTGTATTTAATTTCAATTTTTGTTTTTTTAAGTATATATGTTAATATATTCAACTTTAAATCCTTTTCTGAGAGCGTTTTTTAAATTTAAAAAAAATATATTATTTTGCCGGAGATGTATTACAGCATGTGTAGAAAACTTCCTCTGTGAATTTTAGTATATTCTGTCATAAACTTTCCAACTTTATAATTAATATCCGATTTCCATAGATTTTTACATAAATAATAAACGACTGAAGGATTAATGGTAAAATTGTCTGAAATTTAAAATCAGATTTTTAACATTTAAAAATCGCGCTCAAATATGTTTAAAGTTGAAAAAATAACACATTTAGAGCGTATATTGACGCGAAGACATATTACATATACTAATCTTAAATTATGGATTTCATTGTAAATTTTAATTAATTTATTAAATTAATTAATAAAATAACATATCGGGTACTTAAAATGTAACCCATCAAATACAAATTAATTTATGTAATATAAGTAATTTTTTGTATAATAAATGAAATTATGAGAGCATTCCATATATTTAGCAAACTGTAAGCATCTTCTTTATTAAAATGATTTGGTCTTTATAAAATTTAGATGGATTTCCTTATTTAAATTAACAATGAAAACAGTAATATAAAATAATAATCATTGTTTAATCATATTGCATATATACACTACTATACAATATAGGAATTCGATAATAATGTGCCAATTTTAACGGTCCAGCTTTTGGCAATCTGAAATCCAAGACTCTTAACTATATTTTAAAAATTTGTCAAATAACAATTGGAATGTTATTTATAGAAATGGCCAACTATAGTAAATATTATGTTAGCAACTAGGGTATCATATTGCCATGATTTATTTCCTTTATGAGTTAATTTGCCAGAATAAAGTCGTCCTTTTTTGTTTGGTTTTATTAAAAATATAAATGTGTTTTAAAGATATGCCATGTTTTGGCGCGATTCCACCACTGCGCTCAAATATCATATTTAAAAAATGGAAATAAAGTTTGCGATTCATTTATTATTTTAAATCTTCAATATCGCCTCAATTTAAAGAAGACTGGGATACATTATTAAATTTCCTTTGAATGCAAAAAAATTCTAATCTTTTGAATTATTAGGAAAATGTAAAGAATAGTATGCCAGAACTATATAAGTTGGTTATAACTGTGCTAGCAGTTCCACCTAATCAGGTATCCGTAGAAAGAGCATTTTCTAGCCTTAGGTTTATACTCTCTGCGAAGAGAACTAAATTAAATCCTGAAATATTAGAAAATATTTTAGTTATCCGTTCTAATGCTCTTTTTAAAATTAAATAATATAAATTTCAATATATTTATGCGTTATTTTATTTCTCATTGTATTTGCGCATGTTTGTTTTTATCTTATTTATTTATGAAATAAAAAAAATTAATTAGTCTTATTTATATTTACTAAGTTTAATAAAAATATCTATAAGATTATCATGGTTAAATTAAATAAGAAATTATAAAAATATAAATTAAAAAGATTTTATAGGGTTTATGATTAATTTTTTTAAAATCAATTTCATAAAAACCAAACCGAAAGAACCGTTATAAATTATAAACCGAACCGATATGAATTTTTTCAAAAAAAACAGAAATGTAGCAAAACCTTTATAAAATTTTTAACTAAATACAGAAACGAATCGCTATACTTAACAACGGTTCAAAACCTTGATTCTAACTAAAAAAAATTTCATCTATTTTTAATTTTTAGATTTTAATTGTACATAAGCCAATGTTATCACTATCTAGTGAGAGTTTATTCAGTTATATAAATAATTCCACTTCTCATTTATATAATATCGAAATCTCAATTTAAAAGACCTTAATAAAATCATAATGCTGATGTAATCTATAGCTGACAAATTTCAAAAATAAAAGACATCATTACCTTTGGTTTTCTTATTTTTAAATGACCTTTCAAGGAGTGTGTAATCATTGTAATAGGGTTTTTAATTAACTCCACTTTTACACGTAATGATCACTTGATAAAAGATGTCCTCATTTACCAAAAATAATGCCAAAATCCTCTATAAAAAATATATAAATACATATCTGACCGTTTGTTTCAAATATGTAATTAAATGTTAATTTAAAACTAATATCGAAATACTCAGTTAAAATATGTAAGTTTAACAAATAATTGGCTAAATGCAACTAAAAATGAACAAAGTTTATGAATTAATTCGCAACAGCTCTCCATTATTTTTCCTTTCTTTCTTTTTAGTTTATATTATTAAATATGTAATAAAACACAAAAAAAACACTTAACCATTTTTATTCCGGCAATGTACATAATGAAGGGTTAATTATATATACAAAGCAATAGGTGAAGTATCAAGAACACCCCGATGAGCAAGTAAAATATTGACAAAATAAATTAAGGAAATGTGTATCACCATGGATATACATATCGAGGTTAACATCAGAGAATCTTAATTTGGCAAAATATATTTTTTAAAGTATTAATATACTCGAGATGAACTAGATCCCGCAGCTGGTATTGACCTAAGGAGTCTACCCCAGAAGTAGTTTCTTGAGACAACTGCAAATCTTTGGGGAGAACCTTTATTTCGTGCATAGTGAGGTCCGAAAATAAGACCACTGTATTCTCCTCAACTCGAACTACCAAGCCCGTGTCTCCTTCAAATCTACCGCTCAAGACCTTTAGGAATTATTTTTGGCATAAAATAATTATAAATATTCATCTACTCTCTATTTTTGGTAAATGGATATATTGTAAACTGAACGTGCGTACACAGCGGAGGGTATAGAGACAACCCCCCCCCCCCTTCAATCCAAAAATATTTTTCAAAGGTAATACTGTTTTATGTATTAATTTAGTTTTTAAATAATAATTTCTACTTCTTATTGCATATATTCAATTTACATTTAATATCACATTCACAGCGGTAATAAATACGCTATTACTAATTTATTCTAAGAATTAATATCGATTTCAAATTTTTCTAGCATTATATTTATCAATCATTTAAAAATTTCAGCCAAATCATTTGAAAATTTTTTGCTACAAAAAGTTAAATATTTCAAAAAAAGATACTGCTTGATTGAGACTATGAGATTAGCTGAAAGCATTACATTGCAACAAGGAACTTAGGACAAATGTAGATCACGAATTTCAAAAATTATGTCAGAGCTCTATGAATTTAATATTTGTCTGTCTCAACACACAGCAAGGCAAGCCCATCGTCCCAATATTAATATAAGATCAGCCGAAGAATAATATAAAATGAATCTTTTTATCAGCTTCTTAGATACTTTTATAACTAGAATGAATGGTCCTTGATTGATCAGGCAGAATTTACAATTCTGCAAATATAATTACCGCAGAATCATTCCAAATTTTGATAGAGAAAAAATTAAATGTTTTTATTGTGAGGATGTTAAAGTATCCCGAGTTGAATTACTAGCTTATTGCAAACTATTATAAAAGATTAAATATGGTTGATATGATCCAAAAATGCTATTTTCAAACATATTTTAGACTATTTTCCTAATATATTAAAATTATTATATATTTTGACCTCTACCCATTAGAGCTTCTATCAATGAAGGAACAATTCTTCTTAACAACAATAAAAACATACATGTGAAGTAAGTTGTTAAATGGCTAGATTTAACCAGATCAAAAAAGGGAGCTCAATATTTAGAAAAATAATCTAAGCCCTTGAGTTTCATAATTTATTTTAAAAAATTTTATGCCATCGGCTTTTCCTAATTTTCTGAAAATATTGCATTAGCCATTTTTAATAATAGGCCTAAATTGAGAGGTTCAACATAGCTATGAAGTACTGCCTCTGAAAATAAATGAATAGCTTCGCCCTTCTTAATCGTAGGGGGTTGACCTACAAGCACTGATAAAATCAAAATTTAGCTCAATCCCAAAAAAGATTCTTAATTATTTTTTTTCCCCATTTTCTAATACACAATATTTTTTCATGAATACTTTGTTAGTTTATAGTAGTACTTTTTTAAAAAAAATCGGGTTCGGGCTGGGTCGAGCCTAATATTTTTAAATAAAATTCGGGCCGGGTCGGGTCTTGGAATTTTTTTAAAATATATTTAAATTTATCGATTTTATATTGGATTTTTTATGTAATATAAAAATATTTGATTTAATTTATAGAACTAGACGCCATATAACATATGACATTTTGAGTAATTTCTAAATAAGTTCGGGCCGGGCTAGGCAAGTAAATTTTCTTAAAAATAATTTCGGATTCGGGCCGGGGACCGATGCAGATCGCTAGTTTATAATGCAATAATTCTTAAAAATATCTTACACATTCAATATTTTATCATTATTATATATTTGAATTTGTGTAAATGTCAATAAAGTCCTTATAAATTTTTGAAACTTAATATATTCTTAAAAGTCCTAGTTGTAAAAAAAATAATCCCCCACCCCCATAGCGAGTCCCCGTGTATGCGCCTGGCTGATTATAGTGTTCTACATCCTTGTTTTATAGAAAGGGCGATCGATAAATTAATGTTGCGAAAAAATTACTTGGAAATTTTTTAAATATCTCGATTTAATATCGATTGTCTATTATGTTTGAATCAAAAAACTTTTATATATAATACCTAATTTTAATATATTTTCCTATAAGTTTTAATTTTTTTAAATTTTATTTCCTTCTTTTTATTCAATACTTAAAAAATTACAATAAGATAAATTTTGAATTATATAATTATAAATATACAATATTTATGATTAAAAAAATACACATTTGTTTATAAAAAACAAATCCAAAATTTTTTAAAAAAATAAAGAAATATAGCGTAAAAAGAATAAGGAAGGAAGAATAAGTTTAGCAAAGTTCTTTAGAGAAATGGCTGCCATTATGGCTTATTTAATTGGCTTTAAGAATAGTTATGGATTGCCTCTGTCTTAGGATGAAACCTTCTCAAGGAAAACTTGTAAGCTTGCTGTTGAATATCATCATCGATGTTATTTTATTATTTATTTTGGCAATTGATTTATTTTATTTTATATTATATCAATTTATATTTAAATTTAATCGGTGAAAATTTTATATTAACATTTTTATTTATACATCAATTTGTATTAGTTATTTTTTTTGATTATTGTTAAATGTAATTGAGGTGGAAAAATAAAAATGTAATATATCATATAATAAAATTTAAATTATGATTCAAAAATAAAATGATAATAATAAATGTGGATATTAATTCAATTTTAACATGGAGGCCAATCTACGTCCGAACTTTGTGTAAGTACTATCTCAAATTTGATCTTGATTTTACAATGTACATTTATTCTATTTCACACCTTTATCGATGATAATTCTCTTACGATGGATGCTTTAAACAATTCCACATATATGACTGAATTTGTCAAGCTGGATTTCTCCAAATTCAGTAGCGATGACAGCGCCTACATAGGGAAATTGCAAAATTTCTTCAACACCAGCAAGATCTCCGACGGAGATAAGGCCGCTTTATTTCTCCGAAGTCTTCCTGATAACGAATTCAATAATATTGGGGCAATTCGCACTGAGGAAGACTTCCAGAACCCAATAGCCCTGCTTGGCAAATTCAAGTTACAACATCCAACGAAGACCGAAAACGCTAAACTATCATTATTTTATGCTGCAACTCAAGGCAAGGATGAGACATTCTCGGCTTGAATCACGCGCGTAGCACGACTCAACAAAGAATGTAAATTTAATGGCATTCAGAGAATTATTGAGAAAGTGAGAGTATCTTCGTATTCCAAAGATGTCAGGAAAGCGGTCAAGAGCTCTATGACATAGAAGACATTTACAATCTAGGTCTAGAGGAAGACAACGCGGACGCAAGTGGCATCAAGGGCGAGATGAAATTGTTACATTTGAATGAATCACCTGGTGTACAAGAGGTTATTCACATGGGCAGAGTCAAAAATAGTTACGTTACAACAAAACCCATTCAGGACTCTCACGCACATGGTAAATCTCTTATCAAGCAACCCCAGTTCATCAATGACAATCGCCCGCACAGCATTTCGATGAACGTTACGATTTACGCTGCGACTATTGCCGTGACAAACGATTTGATGAACGTTACTATATACGCTACGACAACGACCGCGACAAACGATTCAACGGACGGCACAGCAACTTCCACGACATTCGTTTTGATCAAAGCTACGATAATTGTCACTATAACCGCAACCGTTTCGAAAATCGCAATGATAACTACTACGACGATCGATTCAACAATAGCGGGTACAACGTCCATGGCAATCATCAACTATCATTGTGACCACCATCAAAGCCCTGATCGACGGGATGACTGCTATAGAGGTGTTAACCGAATCAACTATCCCCGTCATGGTCAGCACAGACACAACCCTCAAAATATTAATGGTTTTCCGAAATATTCGTCGAGGCCCAACCAGTACAAAAATGACAATAATACTTACAATAGATCTTCTGATTATAAAGATCGTGATTGTCAATTGAATACGAACCATGCTATGAACATCGAAGTAATTGATGATGATGACGACTCAAACTCAGACCTTAAAGAATATAATCTGCAGAATTTGGAAGTGTACAATATGGGGGTCAAGGATACCATATATGACGCGTACAACGTGACAGTGAGCATCAACAACATACCCAAGTTGATGCAAGTTGACACCGGTATCAAGTACAATATACTGAAGCTGACAGCTAAGACTGTAGGTATAACCGCGATAAGTAAGACGGACATGAGACTCACTGGTTATGACGGCAGCGCTATCAGGATATTAGGTCTTGCCAATGTGAACATTAAGTATGAAGGAAACTCACATACACTGGAGGCCATTGTAGTGGATAGTGATAAGATTCCCCTGCTAGGACGTATGTGGCTCCACACCTTCAACATTTTAAAAACGTTCTTAGTGGGTAATGTAGAGTGATCTCGAGAAGATAATCTCAACAACAAAAAAAGACCTCGAATCAACTTACTCCTACAAACCCAAAATGGTCAGACAAGAGAAAGTTCACTTGAAGTCCGATGCTGTGCCTAAGATCATACCTTCAAGGAGAATTCCGTGCGCCAAGATCGATGCAACGACTCAGAAATTGGATTGCTGGCTGAAGCACGACAAAATAAACCTTGCTCGAAAGGAATCTAGATGTCCGATGCTATGCACAAGAGACCCGGGCCACCCAGGCCGGGCCGTATTTTTTTAAAAAATTTATACAACATGAATTATTATATTCGTCAATTAGATATGGTTATAATAATTATATATAGTTATGATTAATATAATGTTTGGTGAAAGTTAACACTAGCTAACACTCATAGTATCTATTACATAATAAAATTATAGTTTTCCAGCCATGGAATAAATACGCAAAGGATTAAATACATTATTATATAATATATATGTTATATTTTTTATTAATTAATCATTTTTATTTTTTTTATAAATACATAGTATATTCTCAAAATATTATTTACACAAATTTTTTATAGTATCAATTTGTAATATACTAAATATCTGTTTAGAATAAAAAAAAATAAAATTAGTGTTGTTAAACGGCTCGTTTTGAGCCGATTTTTAAAAACGGCTAACTCAGTGTTTTATCCAGAAAAATATTATGAAAGCCTGAAAATTTTGCTCATAGAAGGAGCAAAGGTCTAGACATATAGTATCGAAATTTCGAGGCTTAGGCAATATTTTTCTGGCGAAAATATTGAGTTAGCCGTTTTTAAAAATCGGCTCAAAACGAGTTGTTTAACAACATTAGCTAATATACTTGAAATGATAATACTCGCCGAAAAATATGATAAAATAGGAAATAATGAATTTTTTATATATACCAGGTCGAATATAATTTTAAAAAAATTCCGAGCCGGGCCTAAAAATTTTTTTTTTAAATCCAAGCCGGGTTGGGCCCCCAAATTTTTTTTTTAAATTTTCGGGCCGGGCCTAAAATTTTTAAATCTGGGCCGGGCTGTACAAATGGTACCTCTGCAGGTCTCTGACTGAAATATCGAAATATTTGGTATTTTGAGCTGTCCTTTTAGCTCGAGTAAGTTTGGGGTTAATGATGCTTACTACCAAGTGAATGTATGGAAATATTTTAAATACCAATCTAATTTGCTAAATACCGACCAAAATTTTTTAAAATGTAATAAGACCCTTATTATTTAATATATTAATACGGAATCACGTGGTCGAGTCCGGCTTTCTATCATCCCCCCAAGGATGGAACTACCAAGTTAGAATAAGGAAAAAAATTGATCATTCCTGGGATTCGAACCCGGGAGCATAGGATTAGTAAGCCAAACTCTTGCCTACTATACCATAGAGGCTTTCCAAAAATCACGATTTTTCAAATATATATTATAAATATATTTGGTAGTGCCTATCCAAATGAAAAATGAACAAAATTCAAATTTGATAGATGGTACCTTAAGGTACCAAGCATCATTAACCTAAGTTTGGATGGTTGGAGAGGGTTAATGGATCTATAGAAGAATAATCACAAGTGAGAAATTACTCCCATTTCCAGGGATTTAGGGTTTCCGTATGATCCAAAATGTCCTGGCGCTTCAATTATTGCAGATATTTGGGCAGATTTTAAAGTTCGTTGGATCAGGAAATTGAGTGGTTATGCCTGTAAATTCGGTCTTTACACTATCTGCACTGTAAGCTCTTCATTCCATTGTTGTCTATATGAGTTCTGCAGCTAGATCAGATGTGAGGAAAGGTTATCGTAAAATTAAAACGGGTTTCAATAGCATGGGTAAGCTTATTGTTGGTTAGTTGGAGCTGAAAATTGTTAGAAGAGATAACTACCAAAAATTCATGTCCCATTAATTAAAAGTGGGAAATGATTATTCGTTTAGAAAGGAGTTGCCCAAAATAAAAGCAGTGAGAGCGAGATCGGTGAGAGATCTAATTTGCAAACAACTCCTTTTTGTGGGTAATGAAGTCTGAGCCCAGGATGTTTCATTGAAAGAAAGATTCAAGATATTATCGATTAGATCTTTTATACCCTTTTCATAAATGCTGAGGGTAAGAAATATAAAAATAGTAGTTGAGCGCAGAGCATAAAAGAATGAAATGTAAAATAAGTTTTTTAAGAGGAAGAATGATTTATACAAGGATAGCAAGGCAAGGTTATCAAACTTAAGTAGAATATCAAGGATAGAGTGGAAGAAGGTGCTAGTTGCAGTGATCGCATACCAACCTAAATGTGTAGGCTCCTCCTTGAAGATTATTTTCAAATTGTGGAGATTCTGATTATGAGTTTACTTGCACATTTGTTGGAGTGAGAATGCGACCAACAGCACATCTTATTTCCTTGATAATGTCTACAGCCTTATTGATTTAAAATTGAGGTCTACTAATGATTCCGTGATCTATATACCAGATGTGAAGTGAAAGTGCGCATCCCCATTGCCTGACTCCAACAGACAGAGGGATTGGGATAAGCCAGTTGTAGCTCACTGCGTTGAATCTCTATTATCTAGCATGGTACCCTAACTGCCCACTCCCTCTTTACTTCATTAATTAATGGATCCAGGCATGAATTTTTAGAAGTTATCCCATCTAACAATCTTCAGCTCCAACTAACTAACAATAAGCTCACCCATGCTATTGAAACCGTTTTAATTTTAAGATAACCTTTCCTCACATCTGATCTAGCTGCAGAACTCATATAGGGGTAATTCCATACCAAATCGATAACTTTTCGGCCCGACCTTTTTAATTTCGATAAAATTTTGCATACTGAGAGAATATCAATAGAAAGCATCGAATCCAAAATTTTAGCCTCCTAGTACTCATAGTTCCTGAGATATCAATGGTCAAAAGTGGCAAAAATGACCTTTTTCGAAAAATACGATTTTTAAAAATTGAGATAAAAAAATAATGATTTTAAAAATATAAGTTATATGTCATTTTGTAAATCTATTAAAGGCCTTTTATTAAATATTAAAGATTTTTTTGAAATAATATTGCTGCGGTTTTTATTTACGTTATAAATTTCAAACATAAAAACTCCAGGTGTTTCGCTTTTCAATTTTTTGAATTTAATATTTTCTATTCTCTAACCTTATATCTATTCATAAAAAAATTTAAACTTGGGACAACCATGGGTTTTTTAGTTATTGGGATTTAAAAATATTTTTTTCAAAAATAGATGGCGCTCCTTTATAAAATAACGCGTTTTGTTAAGATTATAATTTTTTTAAACTTTTTTCTATTTTTGAACATAAATAGAAAGATTTTCTATCATTAATATCATGAAATGAGATTATTTAGCTGCGGTTATAATCATTTTTTTCTTATAAAAAATTTTAATTTTCAAAAATTTTTTGTAGATATAATAGATAAATTAAAATTCATGAAAGATATTACCTATTTTCGGTTTTTCATTTTAGTTTTTTTTACGCCATGATAATTTCGTGTTGCGATAAATTATATGTACGCCCAGTAGCCGTTGATAGGCTAACTATTATTAAAATATTATTTTATGGGTATGAAAAGGATCTTGTGCAGCTGGATAAACAAAAGAATTTGCTGGTCCTTTGGGTGAAGAAAATTAATTTTTACTTCACCTCTAATTACATTCACTTCTTGTACAAATCCTAACCACCAATCGTTTTCCATGTGCATAATGCACATGTTACATATCCTCAAATCTCATCGATTAATTGATCCCAAATCAAAGGATCCTCACGTGGATATACTATATTCTCCACAATAAATGTCTGCGAATTAGAATATAGTTTAGTTAAACAATTACTCGCCTTAAAATGATTATATAATTCTTTCAAATTATTAAGAACTAACCTTTTTTGAGCGTTCACTCGTTCCCCCTTTTCAATGCTAGATTATGCATTCTTTTTTTCCTGGTAATACCCTACTAACTTCATCACTGCAAAATTTTTATTAACAATATCAACTGTTTTTAAATTGAGATATTTTTGCAGGCTTTCGATTTGGAGTTGAAGGAATCCCCTTTTCTTCTAAAACGATTTTGGAATTATATGCCAAATGATTATGTAGCGTTGAATGTCGTTTTTATTTTATTTGCGCTCCAATTAGGAGGCAGAATGATCAGCAATTGATATTTTTTTATTTTTAGATTAAATAGGATATTGTAATTTCATATTATTGAGTAATATCATTATTATCTTTTGTACCGATTCTGGATTGTTAATTATTATATCTGAAATAAGCTTTTTATATTTTCGCTATCCTTTTTTTTGGATAATTTTTTTTTCTTAATAGGAGATATTCCAATTTCGTTTAAAGTTATATTAATTGTATCTATTGATGTTGATGCTGTGTTGATATTATTTACATATTAGCTATAAGAATATTTATATTTTCAATATTCTTTTGTGATAACCGTTTACGACATTTATCACAAATATAATGTTCCGCCTCAATGTTTGGATATTGTGTCATCCACGTCATGACTTTACGCAGGTTCTTTTTATAATTAAAGTGTTTAGATTCTTTAAAAGGATTTACGCATTTATATTTATACATTATAAATAATTTTAAGAAGAAAAATAATTAATATCAAAATATTTGTAAAATAAAAATTAATTAATATTAGGGCAGGTGCATGAGAACTTGCTTTTATCTTTCAACAATTAATTATTATATTTTCTTGTTGGAGATATCGGAATCTTAACTATCTTTTTTAGGAAATTTAATCATTTATTATAAAAACAACTAATTATTACAAGTTATCAATATAATAATAATAAGTAAGCCTATCAAACGATCTATATAATATTTCTTCATGATAGTAATGCTGGAAAATCTTATTATTTATGTTTAAAAGTGAAAAAAAGTTTAAAAAAATAATAATCTTAACAAAACACGTTATTTTATAAAGGAGCGCCATCTATTTTTAAAAAAAATATTTATTTTTTGATTTTTTAAATCGTAATAACTAAAAGCCCATGGCTGTCCCAAGTTTAAATTTTTTTTATGAATAGATATAAGGTTAGAGAATAAAAAAATATTAAATTCAAAAAAATTTGGAAAGCGAAACACCTGGAGTTTTCATGTTTAAAATTTATAACGTAAATAAAAACTGCAACAATATTATTTCAAAAAAATCCTTAATATTTAATAAAAGGCCTTTAATAGAGTTACAAAATGACATACTACTTATTTTTTTTAAAATCTTTATTTTTTAACTTATCTCCATTTTAAAAAATCGTATTTTTTGACAGTTTTGACCATTGATATCTCAGGAACTATGAGTACTAGGAGGCTAAAATTTTGGATTCCATGCTTTCTAATGATATTCTATCAGCATACAAAATTTTATCGAAAAGTCGGGCCCAAAAGTTATCGATTTGGTATGGAATTACCCATAGACAACAATGGAATGAAGAGTTTACAGTGCAGATCGTGTAAAAACCAAATCCTCAGGCATAACCAAAGCAATCTCCTGATCCAACGAGTTGAAATTGATTCAAATAACTGATATTTATACTTAGATCCGATGAATAGTAGCCTGATGGAATCCCCCTGATACTAAACGGGGTCAATTTCTCGTTTGTGACTTTTTATATAGATATAGTAGCTAAATTTTTATTACTATAAAAAATTATATAATAGTTAAACCTTATACTAAATAGAGGTCTACAAAAATGATCAAATATTAAGAAATTTTTTAAGTCTACTAAAATTCTCGAAGTCATGTATAACATATTGTTCTATCTCCACTTTAAAAAAAAGAAGTTTTATATTGATCATATAAATAATCTTTAATACTTACACATATACTCTATGACTACTCTAATTAGGATGGTAAAAAACTATGAAAAAAACCGCAACCAAGTAAAATCTATGAAGTGAAATCGCACCAAATCTATGAATCGGAGCCACGTTAAACGGTAAACATTTTTAATTTAGGAACTGGAACCATTTTATTTTTAAAAAAATTATTTGGAAATTTTTAGTACAGGTTCCATATTCCGAAAAATTTTACATCTTCCAATATTGAAAATATGATACATATTTATTTTATTAAACCTTTCCCACAAGGTTCCACAAAAATGGATATAGAACATTATAATATTCAGGATGAAGATATATATTTTTTGTAGATTGGCCAATACATGTCAAATCGATCATGATTCAGCCGACCTCATATAAACTTGTTAAAAATTTACGAAATTATTTATAGGTAAAAAAATTAAAAAATTATTTTAGCTCGGTAACAAACCTCGTTCTCGAAATATAGGGGCTCATAGGTGCAAAAAAGTGCCACTTTGTAATCTGTAGAATTTTTAAATTGCTTATATCTTAAAAACTATTTATAATAAAAAAAAATATATAATTAACATATAATAGTTAAAAATGATCTCTAAAGGTCTTTCAAAAAATAAAAAATTGTGTTTTTAGCAATAAAGGGAGCTTGTTTTCATAAAATATTTTTTGCCTTTTATTTAAACATCTTTTATAAATATATATACGATGTCAAAACCTTGGCGATGCTGTAACAAAATAGAGAGCGCTTTACGAAACTAGGAATTATGATTAAAATTTTGTTGCAAATAACAAGATATTTTTCACTTTATATACTAAAATATTTCGAATTTCTATATATACCAATTAAACTGATTGACAGTGGGGACAAATGCCCCTTAGATACTTAATAATGTATCAAATCAAATTTTTTCAAGGTTTTGACATCTTATATATATTTATAAAAGGTGTCTATATAAAAGGCAAAAAAAAACTCCCTTTATTGCTTAAAAACACAGGTAAGGCAATATAGGCAAATTGGAGGTTATAGACTTTGGGGCCAATTTTTATTGTTTTTTGATAGCCCTTTAAAGATTTTTCTTCAAAATATGATATATAATATTTTTTTTACTATAAATAGTTTGTGAGCTAAAATGGCTTTCTCATTTTTTTTTACCTATCTAAATGATTCCTGAAATTTTTGACAATTTAAAAAGAGGTTGGTCGAAAATATGCCTTTTTTGTTCTACAAGGAATGGCCCAGATCTTGCAAAATTTTTATACTTAAAATTGACGGGCGTATATAACCAAAATTGAGAATAAATCAAATAGCGATCGATAACATACTTTTTGTCAATTCCTCTGATCATCTAAAAACAAATAAATGCTGCTGTCACGTGATTCACATTTATATGTCATTTTAAATTTGGCGTAATTTTTTTAAGAAATTTTTTAAAAGAAAAACCTTGACATGATCCCCAATTTTAAAGAATTTTTTAAGTTCGTGAGCTTGGAAATTGAGCAGGTCCTTTAGCTCCGCGTGATTGGGCATTATAGTAATGCTGGAACCGTCCACCGTGACAACTTTGCCTTGCAAGTAGAGCAAGTCCCCTTCGATAACTTCCACCACATCCCCAGCCGAAAAACTGCGTAAAGCAAGCACATATAAAACGTGATATTTAAACATATATAATGCGCCATTTTGTATTTGAGAATCGCGTGATTTACCTCCAAAAATAATATCGAAAGGAGTTGTAAAATTCATACATCTAACCCTTAAATATACTCTATAAAATAAAAGTCACTAATCTAAATTTAAGGAAAACATATATAAGTATCAATTTTATAGTTTTAATTTACTATTAATTAATTTTGATTTCAAAACGTCTTTTTTTAAAAAAAATATAAAAACATAGCAATTAAACTTTATGCGATGCTACATATTTATAAAATCATTCCCTTTCGCGCCCAGCAAGATCATTTGTCATCATTTTTAATCAATTAATTTTTATATTTAAAAAACTAATAGTTGCTACTTAGATGCATGAATTTACAAAACAATATTTATTATTACGTATTTTATTATTAACCTGTCAAAATCATAATTTTATTATATCAAAATACAAGTTCAAAGTTAGGTATTTTACGTGCCAAAATTTTTACACATAACCATTCTATATAAATATATATATATATAATGTTTTTATAATAGATTATTACTAGTATTTCATATTTAGTAAAAAAAAATTTAACAATAACTATTATTTATATGATTTTTTGAAGGAAATCCAAATTGGTAATATTGGGATTTTATAATGTAATTTTTTATAAATTTTTTTAAATTAATAGGTTATTTCATTTAGAAAGCCACTATAATATTTGCAAAAAGTTAAGAAAGTGGGAATTTTTTTTTATTATTCTTTTTTTTAAAATTCTTATAAATAATTTTTAGATGACCTCAACATATATTATGCCAGGAGATGAATTTAACAATATATTAACTCAACCCCACATAAATGGGGAATTAAAATTTTCGCTTTATGTGAATCATCTGGAATGCTATATGATTTCAAATATATTTAGGAAAATCATCAAATATAAAAAAAACTATGAATGGAATGAGCATTAGAAACTGTTCCCCCACATAAAAATCCTAAAATTTACATGGATACCTTTTTTTCTTCGTATAATTTAGCAGTTGCTCTCAAAGATAATGACTTTATCATGTTGGGGACCCTTATATCTAATCGATTATAGGGATGTCACCTGTATGATGATAGAATCCTAAAGAAAAATAGGAAAAGGGTCCCTTGATTATAAAGTGGATTCAAATAATAATATTATAATTTGCAAACGGTTTGATAACAAATCGATTATCACCATATCATCATTTATGGGAATAAATCCAAGATCACGAACAATATGGGTATCTGATAATTCTTTTCTCAATGTTGAAATTCCGGCCATAATTCAAGACAATAACGGTGGTATAGGCGGGGTAATTGAACCCTACAGAACCGACAAATGGAAGCGTTTTTATATGCGAGTTTTCTTTCATTTATTAAATTCCTGTTGTAGTAAATTTATGATGGCTCTATAGACGCTACATCAGAGAAAAATAGTAAACATGTATCTCTTTTAGTATTTAAGGCTCCGATAGCTAAAGGATTGATGATGGTTGGAAAGGAAAATGATGAAAAAGAAGGTAGACCTACTTTGAAGATTGAAAAAAAGAAGGAAATTAAATAGTTTTCATCCAATCACAGAGATTAGATTAGATAAAACAGGACATTGGCCATTGGCGGCTAGCAGACAAAGATGAAAGAACTGCAAAAATGTTTATTCAAGATTTGAATGTATATAATGTAAAATATCTTTATGTTTAAATAAAAATAGCTATTGTTTTATTTCTTATTCAAAATAAATTGTATATTTTTTTACATATATATATATATCCCAATGACAATTGGTAACATTTCATAATTCTATATATATACACACTTTTTAAATAAAAACGTTGAAAATGTGTTCATAATCTTATATATATATACACACTTTTTAAATAAAAAACGTTGAAAATGTGTTATCTGTGTCTTGTTTAACTCAGTTTTAGAAAAGAAAATTTTTTTGTTCACGGGAAATATTTCGGGCGCGAAAAGGTTAAATGAATGAGAGTATAGTATAGAGCTAAAATAAAGGAAGATATAATATAGAATTTTAGCATATGATTATAAATAACCTATGAATCTCGGTAATTTTGTTTGACTTTATATTTATATCCTCTAGGGAATCTGCGTTTTCTTCAAACTTTTCCATTTCGGTCAAAGTAGGAACAACACCTAATTAGTAATAAATATATTATTTAATGTGGGTAATTAATTGTAAAGTTTTTTAAAAAAATACGTATATATTTTTAAATAGCTAAGATATAAATATTAAAATTTTGCGAAATCCTTATTTCATAGAGCTGAAACTGGTGGCAGAGAGGGGACCTGAACATTAATCCAACAGGCGTTAGGCTGGAAACCAGTAGTAAAACAAAAAAGACGCACTTAAAAAAATCAAAAAATAAACCAAAGGTTCAAGAGTAAAAATATAACATGTGCACTTTAAAGAAACAACAAAAAGTAAGACAAAAATAGGAAAACCAAATATTAAAATAAACAAATATAATTTCCAGCCAATTTTAATTAAAGTTATTAGTTAATTTTTTATAAATTAAATTCAATAAAAAACCATAAAATATTAATTCAAAAGAAAAAAACAAATTTTCAAAAAAAATGAAGTCAAATATAATTACTAAACAATTCAATTATGCATACCATCGACTACAATGGCAGATATATAAAAATTCTTGCTGAGGAATCCTGTTTTACTGTAGCGATTGCTTTCGAATACATAATAATCCCCATCCAGACTAACTTCACCGCCTATAGCTTTGATGGCGTCCGGGTCAAATAACTTGGAGAGTGGTCTTTTTTTTATTTTGTTCCACCATTGTGACTTCTTGGAGGCATTCGTTGCAGTCGGGTCTGAGGTTGAGTTAGGAGTGTTCAAATGTCGCAGAACGCCACGATTCCGCTTGTAATCTATGCGTGGGACCAGCTTGAGGTTAGCCTTTTATTCGAAATTAACAAGCATTCTTTTAAGATAAAAATTCATAAAAATTTTTTGGGCCAACAAAGTTTATTAAGCAGGTTTATTTTATATTTAATAAAGAGGCAAGATATTTTTCGTTCTTACAGCAAAATTTTCAGGAAAAATCAATATAAAAAAATAAGTTGAAGCTGGTTCAATAAAACCAAGTTTCCATCCAATTAAATTTGAACTCGGAAATTAAAAGTAGGGTGTCGAACTTTTAAGTTCTCCTTTTAAAATTTTAAACGGCTTGTTCCAAGAATTTTTGAAGAATGCCAGTTTAAAAATTCATGCATATTGGTTCCTTTGGGATTTTACAAAAATTTCCTTATTCCTTTTCTTATAAAACAAGAATAACTAATAAATTAGGTAAGATTTCGCAGATTCTTAAAAATGGTGAACTCAAGATAGCCAGTAAATTACCCAAGCTTGGATATTTTGTCCACAGATGTTAAAAAGGTTTGGACATTTATTGATGAAATTTCGAGGTTTATATAATAAATAATATTTTGATTAAAATCTGCCGTTTGTAAATATTGGCTAAGAGCTATTTTACAACATGAAACGCAAATATTTGCGCTTTCTTTAAATTATGTAAGCAAAACAATTAAAATAAAGAAATATTTTTTAAAAAAGCCGTATAAACCGGTTCGAACTTTTCTATAATGGTTTAATCTCTTTTGAGATTTTCTTATAACTGTTCGGTTTTAAATTTTAAAAAAATTAACGATTAATTCCCATCGATTTCACTGTTCGGGTTGACATTTCTTTTAAAAGATTTTTAAAAAGTACTTAACTATAACTATTTATATACAAGCTATGAATGAAATATCAAAACATTTATTTTAAAATTTTATATTTCACATTAGTGTTGTTAATTAGTCGACTTCTTCCGATTATGACTAATAGTCATAGTCTAGGAAATCGACTAAAAACTTTAGGGATTAAATAAGGACTAATTTCGCGAATTTGCTTATATTATTTCTATTAATTTTGAATTTGTATATTTTTGTGCCTTGCTGACACCAAATCTAATATTTTGTATATTTTTTAAAATTATTGTTTTATTATTAGAAAATTAGGTAGATTTTTTATGTTTTCAAAAACTTTAAAATAAATATAATAATATTAAATAATTTTAGTCTTAGTTAATTAATCGACTAATTTAATGGCTAAAGTTTTTAGACGAATTTTTCGACTATAACTATTAGTTAGTTGTCTGTTAGTAGATTGATTAACAACACTATTTCACATTTTTAAAAAAATATAAATTTAAATTTTTTAAAAAAAAGAGTAACAAGATATCTTACAATATTTTGACCATGTTCAACAAAGTTGACTTGGGCTATGTCGTCTTTATATATTCCTCTCCGCAATCTTACCCACGTTTTGGGCTTGAGAGATCGAATTTCTTTCACCACTTTCAATACATCCACCATCTCGTTTATAGGTACCATCTTAAATATAGTTATGAAAATGAAACAAAAACAGTCAATAAAAATTAACAAATAATCATATTTAACTATATAAATAACTTAAAAGAAAAAGAAATTCTCTTGGTTCATTGGAAAAGTCTTGATTTTATCAGAAGATATGAATTTCCAATTGTAGAGGGAACAATTTAGGTGGATTATTGTAAATTTCTTTATCTCCCTTGATTAAGCTGATGATAACGGATTCAAAATTTTTATTCAATGGAAATGAGGAGACACAAGTTTCCAAATAAGAAATTTGCCATTGTCTAACTCCCAAGGGAAGGCAATCCAGAACAGGTCTATGTAATTTTGATAATGAAGCTAGTCAAGTAAGAACATAAGTAATTTAGTGAATAATAACTTAAAGCTCTAATTATAGCATCTAATCTGACAGTCATCTCTTTTAATACCTTACCCACTCAATTATATTGTCAAAAACACTTTTTATAAAATGGGACGAGTGGGACCACAATTTACTGTTTTCCATCAAAAATCGAAATTCTATTTATAAAACAAAAATTGGGTTAATTGGTGAACCTCAGAAAACCTACCAGAAATTATAGGCCCGATTTAAGCTCAGCTCTTTTATATTTTTTTTAACTCTGTAATTTAAAAAAAATAAAATAAAAATTCATATATTATTTTAACCTATTCTAAATATTAGTATAATTTTAATTTAATTTTTTTTATAAAGAGATAATTAATTTCGATTTTATTTTAACCTATTCTAAATATTAGTATAATTTTAATTTAATTTTTTTTATAAAGAGATAATTAATTTCGATTTTATTTTTCTAATTTTTACTAGTGTTCTTAAATGGCTCAATTTCGCCAATTAAAACTGGCCAACTCAAATAAGCCAAAAGTAAATTACCCAAGTTTAGAGATTTTGCTTACAGATGGTAAAAAGGTTTTGGCATCTAGTGACAAAATTTCGGTGGTTAAGTAATAATATTTTGGCTAAAATCTTTATCTAGTCGTTTTTTAAGATAGGAAAAATCGAGTCGTTAACAAAACTAATTTTTACATATTTTTTTAGTTATAGAGAAGACTTGCAAATCCTAAAAGAATATGGCGCATGATCAGTCTTTAAAGAAATATAGATATGCTTTGTTATAAAAATATATCGCTTTTTCCTTTTAAATAAAATAATTAGAATTCCATTTAAGAATAAAATCTATAAAATAGAACTTACGAACCTTTTGCTGATACTGGGCGGCTCGCAGGTTGCCCATACCTTTGATAGCTTGTTTAACTTGACTCTGTTTGAATGATTCGATGTAAATATAACCCTTCAAACCTTCTTTGCAAATAACTGAAGTAATTTGAAGTGGCTAAATAAAAAATAGTTTTAAAAAAATATATGATTAATATGAATGACAAAAAAAATATTATTGATAAGGATTCAATCACTAGAAAAAAAAATCGGACCTCATCTGTAAATTGATAAGCAATAAATTTTCTCATCAATTGAACCACGGTGGCCTTTTCCTCACCGATTCTGCATTTGATCATCCATAAATTTGGATCCCTAAAAGTAAGAAAATTAATTATATCAGATATAACTTTTTAAAAAAATATAAAGCCTTACAAGTGTGTAATTATAATTACTATTATAATTTCTCAATAATAACAACTCGGGCCCTATAGGAAAAGGATAAGGTCTCATTCTCAGCTGACTCAATTGAAACAATTTAAATCGTTTTATCTAGGGGTGTACTGATACCACTTTTTGGAAGCTGCTCCCCAATCCGATATCACATTTGATTGTATTTTTGTGCATAAAACAAAAAATATAATATGGGAGAATGTTTATTAATTCATTGTTAGCCTAAATAAATTAATTAATAAATGGGCTTGTTATTGAATTATTTATCTATTTTTTGATATACTTCTATATTTTTTAAACATATTTACACACTATTTAATTTTTAAATAATATCACTCAAGTTATATATTTGAAATTTTTTTAAATTAAGACGCCATTTTATCGGATCGAAAAATTTTATAACGGCCAGTAGGAATTTTTAAAAAGACGAACAATTGATCTGAACCAATTCAATAAAAAAAATAACGGTGCGCCCCTAGTTTTAGCCAAACTCGGAAAAAGATTATTTTTTGCAGGGTAAAAATTATAAGAAAAATCAGATTCATTTATAAAAAATCAATGTTTACTTTCCAAGAATTAATATTAAATATAATATTTAAATTTATCAAGGTTAATCGATTAAGAAGCCATAAAGTTAAAAGGCAAAAAAATTTTATGATAATTTTTTATAAATGTATTTAGCGTCATGGTCAATAGAATGTTGATTAGACCGATGAAGAAGATACATGCAATTGAATATATATCATAAATTAGCTGATGACGCCATTTTGGTTTCGTATATGCAAATCATTTGTAATGCTAACAAAAAAATATTTTAGGGCGTGTTTTTTATGACAACCTAGCTCTCAATTTTAAACTTTATCATCCTCTGGGTTTTATTTAAGAAAAAAATAAAATGATTATATTTGTTATCATATATTTTTAAAAATTTAATGAGTGGCATTCTTAAAATCTAAATAGCCTCTTACTTATGGCTTTTTAGATGAAACTACCAGCTAAACCGACGGATATTTAAAAATAAGTCGAATCAGGGCATGGCCTTAAGGTTTTGATTTATTAATAAAAATTTATATGTGCACAATTGGAGGTTACCAGCTAATTTTTAGTCAGCAACCCTTTATAATGCCTTTTAATGGGTGAATCGTCAGTTTATGTAATAGGTCATTATTTGGACCATAACACATAAACCAGACTTATGGTTTCTTGGTTCATTTAAGTATAAAATTGGGAAAAAATGGTCTACCCCAAAACAGAGAGTTGGAGAGGGATAAATTTTAAAAAATATGTAAGGCAAAATAAACATAGAGGAGCAATAAAGATATAAATAATCCAACTTGATTCCGGGCAATAGGCCTTGATGTGTAATATCTTCCGAAAGTTGTTCATCCCCTTCTCCGTATCTATCGTCATGTGAGGCTTCAGCATATTTTCTTTTGTAGTACTCTTCTATCTCGTCTTCTTTTTGACTAAAAGATGGTAATATATATTTAAAAAATAATTATTATAATAAATATTTAACCATGGTGTATTCAAGCAAGAAACATGTTTGGTTGTATAAAACAAAATATACAGTAAATATCGATATTGATACAATATAAAAGGATCAGTTTAACAACTCTAAATTCATCTGATATACAACATAATAATAATGGATACATCTAAAATCCTGATTCTTAAGAAATTAATTTAATCAACATTTGAATAATCTAAGAAAAATGCAATATTTCAGGAACTTTAACAGAGCCGGAAATCAACCCTACAGTTTATCGTTTTTATTTTAGGCAATACCAGAAATTAACAACCAGTGGCGTATAATGAACCAATTTTGGGGAAATAAAACAGGACTCCAAAGTAAAAAAAAAGCAAGTATTGTGACACGTTCATTTTATTTATAAATTATGTTTAAACTAGAGTTCTGCAAAAGTAGGCCCGACCTGTAACCGGTCCAGCCCGAACGGGCTTCAGGTCAGGGGGCTGGGCCGGGTACGGGCCTATTTTTTAAAAAAGAAATCAGGTTCGGGCTGGGTCGGGCCTAATTTTTTTTAAAAAATTTGGAGGCGGGTCAGATCGGGCTTTGGAAATTTTAATATATATAAATTTATCAATTTTATGTTGAATTTTTAAATAAAAATTTTTGATTTTATTTATGGAAACAAGACGCTATATAACATATATCATCATTTTGAGTAATTATAAAAATTAATTTTTATATTTAAATAAATTCGGGCCAGGCCGTTAAATTTTTTTAAAAAAATTTTGAGTTCGGGTCGGGCCAGCAAAACTTAAAAAATATTTTGGGTTCGGGTTGGGCCGGAAAAATTTTATAAAAAAATTTTGGGGCCGGGCCTAGCTTGAAAAATTAAGCCCGATGCAGATCACTAGTTTAAACATCACCCCAAGCTCTTTTACAGGTAAAACATTTCATGATTTCCATATAAAGTAAATTTACACTCGATTTTCATATTGGGCCACTTATTCATTCAAAAAGAAATTCTTGATACACCATTGTCTACAATAGTCAAAAAAAAAGGAATAAAAAAATATTTATAATAATTATGAATAGTAGGCCTATTCAAATTCGAATATTCGATCGAATCGAATAATTACGAATAATAAATTATTTGCTTTATCCGAATACGAATAATTATTTATTCGATTCGAATTATTCGGAATATTTAATAAATTGCTTTTAATAAATCTAACGTTTGTCATTTCTATTTGATGACCTTGCATTCTGACAGGTGATGTGTTTATAAAAAGACTAGCACAAATTTAAAAAATCTCTGAGTGATTAAATTTTTATTTGCCGTATTTTGTGAATCTCATGAGAAGTTTATTTTTTGAATCTCATAGTATATTTTATTAAAAAATTACACAAACCAAAGGTATATAAAAATATAATATATCTTACAAAAAATTATTGTTAGAGCCTAAATATGTCAAAGGATAATGCTTCTGATGAAATAGTTATGCTTGATGTAAAAGTTGACAAAATTTCCTCACAAAAAGAGCGATTATATGGGATAAATATCAAATCTAACAATCATTGCAAGAGAATTATAAAATGTAAAGGCAAAACAAACCTCCCTTATTAATAATTATAATAGGTTTCATTCACACCTAGGGATTATCTATCTATACAAGGAATATCAACTGCTTGTAAAAGGCTCTTAGTTGGAACCAATTTGTTGTCAAAAAAATCGGATGTCATATAAGGAAGAAAATATAAGAAAAACTCTGCCTTAAAAATTGGCTTAGAATTATGAATTAAATTAATAATTATACATTTTAATTTTGTTTATAACTTGATTACATATTTTTTATCATCAGATTATTGATTACATATTTTTTATTATCAGATTATTTTTTCTGTTTGAAATCAAATTTGCAATAAAAAAAATTGTCAATATATTTGAATATGATATATTATATTAAGAAAATTTATTTCAATTATTCGAATAATTTGAATCGAATACAAATAGTAGATTTTATTATTCGTACGAATAGGAATAGTAAATTATTCGATTCGAATTCGTTTTTGAATAGGCCTAATGGATAGTGTTGATATTTTAGCCAAATATTGTCGAAGCCTAGAGATTTCGATAATATTTACCCAAACCTTTACACTATCTATGAGCAAAATATTTAGGCTTGCCTAATATTTTTCTGGATAAAATATTGAGTTGGCCATATTAAAAAATCGGCTCAAATCGAGCAGTTTAAAACTAATTATAGATCAATAAATCGGTAATGATCTACAGATTTAAAAAAAAATATACTTAAGCATATGAGCAAGTCGTCTGGCACCTTCAGCATCTCGAGCTGTACTTTCTCCACTAATTGAACGTCTATCTATAAGATCCTCAGCTCCCTCTTCCCAGTCTTCCTCTTCTTCACCTTCATCGTCAACCTCTGTAAAAAAATAAAGTTAGTTAAAAAGAGATCTCATTAAAAAGATTAAAAATATATATGTTTATTGACAAAAATTTATGTTCCTTATTCGAATAAAATATGAATTTGTTCATTTAATGATCCATTCATTAGTGAAGATCACAATCTGGTCCTATTGATTAAACGTCTAAAGTGGACAAATTGATAGATAGGACTTTTAGCCTTTTTAAAATGGTTCAACTTTCTTCATAGGGTTAGTATTTAGTAAGTCTATTCAAAACAGAATACAAATAGGATAATGATATATTTGTATTGTATTCTTTCAAACGAATCGAATAACTTAATGAATAATAAAATTTACTACTCTCATGATTGGTATGAATCCCGGAAAAAACCCCTAGGAAAAAAATCCTTAGGAAAATAAACCCCCAGGGAAAAAAACCCTGAAATTTTTTTTTCGAATTTACTTAAGACTTAATAATATCGGTATATTTTTATTTGGATTTAATAAGGTATAGATAAATTAGTATTTTAGAAAAAAAATATTGTAGATCTCATATACCCTCCATAAAAAAATGCTGATGTTCAAATTGGTACTGGGACAAAAAAATACATCAGTAAAATAACCCATGTATTACTTAATTTCGTAAAAATTATTTGCTATAGTAATAAATACAATATCCATCCTTAATTACTACATTAAGTAGACTAAATTTGACAAAATTTGCAATAAGATCTGTTTATTTTATTAAAAATCATTATTATGTATATACAAATTTAAAATTTTTCAATAATAATTATATCGGTTGACATCGTATATTGACAGGAAATCGCCCTCATAAAATCTGGAAGGCTTCGCACCCCATCACGGTATTCCTCGCAAAGTTTCTTTAAACGAATCTGTGTATTGAAACTCTGCGATTTTGTTTTCGGTGTCCAACTGCCTACACGCTATCGTTCAAGTTTGGTTTCATGGGCAGCCACCTAGCATTTCATTTTTTTAATCAATACTCAGATTGATGGGTGCTTGTTCCCGATGATTCCAACCTTCGCATTGATTATTTGTGCGTTCTTCGTCGGATAGAGCGCTCTCATTCACGGTACAAGTTTCTGGAGGAAATCGAGGCCCAATTCGAAGTGTCTGGGATTGAGAATTGTTTCTTGAAACCTCCTTTGATACTCCATTAATGTAATTTTTATCGAAATATTTAAGAATATCTTTACCATTGGTCGGAGTCACCGATCTCAGGAATGCCATTGCATAGCCCATATCACATAAAGGAACAAAAGCTATGCCGTCCATCATGCCACCAAAGAAGCTTAGAGCTTCATCGGTTCTGTATTGCCTTTCCAGACCTAGTTTTGTATTAATTTAAACCCTTAATGATAAACAATAAGGTAATACATCCATGGAGCAATCACTTATAAATTTATTTATCAAAATTAAATTGAGAAGAAAAAAATTGAGAAAAGATCAGAAAAATAAGTTTTTTTTCCGGGTGTTTTTTTTCCTATTACCGATTGGTATAATTAGATATAGTAAATTATTCAATTCGTTCAAGTAAATTAATTATAAATAATTTATTGTTTGAATCGTTTTCGTTTTTGAATAGGCTTACTATTTAGGTTAACAACTAGATGGTAAGCTTTAGATTATATCATATATTTATCAATTAATCTAAAACCCTGTATTGAACCTAACTTTAGGTCAGGAGCTGAGAATTTTTTCTCTGATTAATCCAATCTAGGGGTGTACCGATACCACTTTTTGGAGGCCGATCCGATCCGATATTTCAGATATTAAATTGATATCGGCCGATAACCGATCCGATATCATATCTAATTTTGTATTCTGCAAAGATACCGGTTTTAATTTTTAATATACTTTTTATTAGTACAACATCTATAATTTTACTATACCATAACATATGTCATTTAAATATATTATAATGCTCAGTTATAGTTTATATTCAATTCAATTGCTATTATTTATATAATAAGTAATAACATTAATCTATTTACATAATTAGTAACAAAAAAATATATTATGAAATTTGAAATTAATATTTAAAATTAATATATCGAAGATTTCTTTTTATATCAGAGATATGTCGGCGATGATGGGGACTGTTAATATCACTAGCATCACTAAAAACAGATACTGAAGAGATTAATGAACACTTTTTAAACAGAATGCGAAAAAAAATAACTATATTGCAGAATGTTTATTAACTAATTATTTCTATTAAAAAAATTAAACATAAAAATGTATTTCGATTTTATTTATAAAAATAAATGATTTTTAGATATAACTTTTTTTAAATTTTGTTAAAAGCGCCATTTTATATCGGATCGGAAAATTTTATAATATTTGCCGATAACCGATATTTTAAAATGAGCGAAATATCGGCCCGATCCGATATAAAATATCGGTACACCCCTAATCCAATCCTAGTAATTTTTCCTAATAATCCATGTCCAACCCAAAATTTTGTTCTCAAAATAGGTCCAAATTTTTTTTCTACAAAACAGAAAAGATTTTACTGTTATTTTAGAAAAGGGAAATTGTATAAATAGAGAAACAAAATATTTGTTGATTTGGACTCAAAGCAGGTCTCTAGTAAAAAAAAATCGACTTTACTCTAGTTACATCATATTTTAAATAAAGAATTGACAACTACATATATGGGCTTTGTCAGGTAAATCTGACTTGAAGAATGAATAATGACATAAATTAAAGTAAAATGTCATAAAATTAATAACCTAAGCCTCTTCAAATTCTTACAAAGCTTTGTCATCTATGACAACAAATGATATGTTAAATTAATTGAGATTTCATATTTCCATATATTCTTTTCGAATATTGGGCAAATTTGTAGCATTTTCATATCAAATATTTTATTTTTTATAATCTTTCTTTATGGCAATTTTATGAATTAGTTTTATCCTTTTTTCAGTTTTTGATAATAATACCTTTGTATTTTCTAAATAATCTTAAAATGTTAAACGATTCCAAGCTTGATTTGATATAAATGGGCAAGAATGCATAGTTTAATTAAAAAAATATTATGTTTAAATTAAAAATTTGTTAGAACTAGCAATAATTTTTTAAAGAAAAAATATATGTACATGACTAAATCTAAGTTTAAAAAATTGGAAATTTCAGGTCCAGCCCCAATAACAAATAAGTTAACATAATACTTATAATTTATGTAACATGATTGTTAAATAGGTCTTATAGATATACCAGCTTCATCCAAAATAAACCCGCCAAATCTAGGTTTTTTTCGTTTTCCTCTTGAACCATCTTCTTCCAATTCTTCTTCCTCTTCCTCATCTAATTCTTCATCTACTTCAATTTCTTCTTCCTCTTCCATTTGATTTTTCTGTTTTAGATATTTTTTTATTTAATATTCTTATACAAACACAAATTATAAAAATAAATTCTAATATATTTTTATTAGGGCTTTGTCAATATTAAATACTGAATCAGACTAGGGTCTATGTTTACTGTTTAAAAAAAATTGGTACCTGATCCGAATAAATTAATATTTTGGGTTATATTATGATTCTGCATAATCATATATTTTTTATAGATAAATTTCCTAGTAATAAATAAAATGAATTATTAAATTTATTTGTAATTGTAATGCTTAAAAAAATTAAATTCTGTCCAACCACAAATTATTCACCAATCTAATACAACATTACTAAAAAACAATCCGATTATATTTGTATTTATTTTTATTTACCATCAATCTATGAACCAATGTCATAAAAATATCAAAATTTAATATTTAAAAAAAACTAACTTTTCAAGAATGATTGAGTAGGGCATTTTCCTTTTTTTAAAAAATTCTACAAAAGTTATTACTCTTGTTTAAAATATTCATGTTTATAAATCAATCACTTTTCGGCCGACTCTTTCGATTTCGATAAAAAATCGTAGGCTGGTTATATATGTTATCATTAGATTATAAACAAAATTTTAGCGCATTAGAAACTATATTAGCGGAGATATTCGAGGTTAAAGGTCCAAAAAACGTCTTTTTTTGCTTTTTACTTTTGTTAAATAATTAGTTTTTAATTTAAAACTAAATATGATCAAATATTGAATCTAATATCAATAGCTAAGTTAATAATTGATGATTATGGCGAAAACATCAAAATTAATTTTTAATAAAATATGGGTCATCTTATGGTCAGTTGAAAACTTGAAATTAATATTTCGAAATGTATATGATCTCCGATTTTTAATTTTTTTAAGAAATATTATCTGTTTACTATTTTTTTAATAATTTCTTCAACAAGTATGGCTGGATATTTATTTAAAAAAATATTGCGATTATTATACTTTAAAAAAATAGATGGCGCTATATATAATAGTTTTAATATGTTAAAATTTTTTTTTTTATTGATTAAAAATATTTTAATGTATATATATCATACTAAATCGATTACAATGTGCATTATATATATTATTTGTAATTCAGATCATAAATTTTTAAAATCTTCACAAATTTAGCCTAAAGATAGTTTATAAATTAATTAAATCTTACTTCATCTAAAGGAATACAAAGCCTGGCTAGCTTGTGAGATTCTTCAGGAGATAATATATATGTTCGACTGGTGGGAGTAGAAGGATTGACCAGCGAGAGAATATAAGATTTAGGCAACACTAAAATATCATCTTTCAGAGGAAATTTAAATGAGGCTGAAGGTCCACAAGGGTGTAAAAATCGGATTTTTACTTCTTCATTTGTATGACTTTTATCGAGTATATATCCTAACCACCATTTATCATCATATACACATGTTATATATCCATTAATATTTTAAAATATAATTTTCACATTTAAAAACGAAACTTGTTTTATATTATATTTTTTGGAATTAAAATATATTTTAGTTTTTAGTCTATTTTGATCAATGGGAATAACCCCGTGAATTTTTTGGATCCCATGTACGGGCAGTGCAGAATTAAATCTTTTATGAAGGGCTAATTCCTCTTCGATATATTCTTGATTGGATACATATTCAAATTGAATTCCATTAATATTTTCTTTAGCATAATTATATAATTCTAATGGGGTTAGGATTTGATTTTTATTTGGCCTTTGAAGACTAGCTCTGGCAACTAATCTTTTGACAGTTCCTCCGATACCGTCACATGCATTTTTGCCGTGAGCAGTGACAAAGAAATGCCATTCGGCAGGAATATTAAAATCGTATTTATGAAGGCATATGTTCAGAAAATTTTTGCGATTCTTGTATTGAGACGCGGCTTCATCTGAAAAATATATTATTTTTTCTGGTTTAGAATTAAATTTGGCTGTTAAGAATTTAAATTTTTTTTGATAAAGGTGGACTGCACTAGTATTATGCTTAATGATTCGGACAAAATAACAAAATTTATATTTTGTAATTCTTCTCCAGATTTATAATATGCTACAAATGGGTGTATAGTGGCCTGCACGTTGTTCCAATGAAATCCCTAAACTTCTTCTTGTAAAATGAAGGAATAATTCTCAGAATAATCTAGAATTGTTAAAAAATCCTCATCTTTTAAATTTTCTTTGGAATTCTTCAAAAATAAACTTTGTGTTTAGCTATAAACGAGTAGTAAAATTTGAACTTTTTATAATAGATATTCGATGAAATCATCAATGGACTTCATAATAGTTTCAAGATTTGCTCTATCCACCGTGATCCATTGTTTAAACGTGACATATTCTATACGATTTCTCTGAAACAATTCGTATAATTGGCCCTTAAGAGATTCTATACCAGGGCATTGATTACAATTTGTTAAATAACATTTTGGCTGAGATGGATTACAAATAATTTGAGCCAAAAGATATTATAAGAATTTATACAGTAATCTTCTTCTGCTGTAATTTCAGCTATTACATTTGTCATTAATTTCACATTCTGATGAATGGCGCAGACACAAACAATGTGTGTGCCACTAGCTCCAACTAAAATACAGTTTTTTGGTCTAAGTTCAGCAAATTTAGAGAATCCAATTGATATATTTGGGTATTCTTCCTTAAACATCTTGAATATTTCTTTAAGATTATTTAATATAAATCTTTGGACTGATTCTTTCTCGCCTTTAACAGATACACAATCTTTTATTCCAGGCAATAGTCGGCTTATTTCATCAGAACTATAATTTTGTTATTTTTACTGCTTAAAAAATTTTTCAAAATCTTTGAAATTTTCTTTATCTCTGGTTATTTTAATAATGTAAGATAATAACAATTTCATAACATTCTTTGTCTTGATGGGTATGACTTAGTCTGGATGGGGGGGGGGGGTAGGCCTGGTAAATAATGTGATTTTCGATTTTTCCCTTAATAATTTTCTTGCATTCCTTTAATCCTGCTTTTTTGTTCGTGTGCTAGTCCGATTTTTAATTATTTTAATTTACATTGAAATATTAAAATTTTTTATCCTGCGAATATCTCAGGGGAATTAGGTTTACAAAGTTATATAATCGAATTTTATGATATATTATACATTAAAATATTTTTAATCAATAAAAAAAAAAGAATTTTAACATATTAAAACTATTATATATAGCGCCATCTATTTTTTTAAAGTATAAAAATTGCAATATTTTTTTAAATAAATATCCAGCTATGCTAATTGTTGAAAAAATTATTAAAAAAATAGTAAACGGATAATATTTCTTAAAAAAATTAAAAATCGGAGATCATATACATTTCGAAATATTAATTTCAAATTTTCAACTGACCATAAGATGACCCATATTTTTAAAAAAAATTAATTTTGATGTTTTAGCCATAATTATTAATTATTAACTTAGCTATTGATATTAGATTCAATATTTGATCATATTTAGTTTTAAATTAAAAACTAATTATTTAACATCAGTAAAAAGGAAAAAAGGCGTTTTTTGGACCTTTAACCCCGATTATCCCCGCTAATATAGTTGCTAATGCGCAAAAATTTTGTTTATAATCTAATGGGAACATATATAACCAGTCTACAACTTTTTATCGAAATTGAAAGTCGGCCAAAAATCTTATTTTTTTTGCTCATTTGACATGGAATGACCCGGTGAATGATTTTTAAAAAAGGGCTAAATTAAGTTTTTAGCCAAAATATTATTACCAAGGATTCAAAATTTTGTCAATAGAAATCCAAACCCTTTTGCTGTCTGTGGCCAAAATCACTAAGTTTCAGTCAACATATTGAGTTATTTTAAAAAAAGGCTAAATTGTGCCATTTGTTAACACTGATTCATTGGATATTTTAATATCCTTTTTATTGTTTCAGATAATATAAGAAAAACTGTTTAAAATTTTTACCTATTTTTTTAAACATTTCAACAATAAATTGTAATTCAGTTCCTTTTATTAATTCATTATTATGAAATAAGATTTTAAAAAATCATAAATTATATATATAGTATAATCACAAAATACCAAAAACTAGTATTGTTAAACAGCTCGATTTGAGTCTATTTTTTAAAAAAAAGGCTAACTCAATATTTTAGCCAATGTCCAAATCTTTGTCTCATATAAGAGCAAAATCTTGAGGCATGCTTAATATAAAAAAATATTCAGTGTCGTTTTTAAACAATCAAGCCATTCAATAACACTACTTACTAAAAACCAGGGTTTCGAACCGAACCGAACTGAACTGCCAAACCGGAATGAACCGTTATGATTTTCTGAACCGTAACCTTAACTGAACCGTTATAAAGAAAATATAAAAAGAGCGAACTGAACAGTTATAAATATTTTGATGGTTTTAAAAAATAATTAATTTTAAATTATTAACCTAAATTTAAAATTTTAATTTTCCTTGGACATTTTTTAAATTGGCGATTTCTTTTCAAATAAATATTTTTATATTATCAACATTATATATCAAAATACTAAGTTTATTGTTTTTTTCTTTAATATTAGAGATTAGGCAAATTATCTGTTAATTAGATAAGATATCTTAAAATCACACATAATTATTCTTGGTTAACAAGTTTATATATATAAGTTATTAATAAGCTTTTATAATATTTGCTAATAATTTAGGAAAAAATTAAATAATTCTACTATTAATAACTAAAATCTAATAGAAATCAAGTACTTTTTACATTCATTTTTATATTATATGGTTTATTTTTTATCTCATTATAAAAACTTAGATCATAGAATTTAAATAACAATGAATAAAATGGTCAGCAATATTTTAATGATATAATAATTTTTTATTTATAATATTGTTTTTATTAAATTCAGAATTCTGATATTCATTTAAGTCATTATAAATTATTTATTATTAAAATATATTTTTAACATTTGAAGAAAGAGAGATTGCTAGAAAATATCTTTGTAAAACTTGGAACTTGATACAAAGTCTAAATAATCAGAATATTGAAATTCTAAATACTATGCCTACGTGTTCACATTCGAAAGATAATTTAGATGAGATTTTGAAGATTTATTAAAGTTGCATGTAAGTCTTAATAAGAATAATTATCAGGGCATAGAAAATAATAATAAATGTATAGAAGTAGAATATTTAATTTGGTCATTTGATAATATATAGAGATTAGAAAAAGATACTAATCTTTTGAATTGTTGGGAAAATGTAAAGAATAGTATGCTAAACTTTATAAGTTAGCTATAACTGCGCTAGCAGTTCCAGTTACGCGGGTATACATAGAAAGAGCATTTTCTAGCCTTAAGTTAATACTCTCTGCACAGAGAACTAAATTAAATCCTGAAATATTAGGAAATATTTTAGTTATCCATTCTAATCCTCTTTTTAAACATAAATAGTATACATTTTATTATATTTATGTGTTATTTTATTCATCATTGTATTTACGCATGTTTGTTTTTATCTTATTTATTTATGAAATAAAAAAAATTAATTTGTCTAATTATATTTACTAAGTTTAATAAAAATATCTATTAGATTATCATGGTATTAAATAAGAAATTATAAATTAAAAAGATTTTCTCTAAAATTAATATATACATGGTTAATGATTAATTTTTATTAAAATAAAATTTATAAAAACCAGAACAAACCAAAAAGAACTGTTATAAATTATAAACCGAACCGATATGAATTTTTTTTAAAAAAACCAAAATGGAACAAAACCTTTATAAAATTTTAAACTAAAAACAGGGACTAACCAAACCGTTATGCTTAACGGCTCGAAATCCTACAAAAACTATAAAAATATCAGCATCCAAACACACTTTGGGTGGGCATGGCCATGTTTTCTAAAATATTTTCAAAATTGGGTGGATGGTGGTGGAAAAAATATTTTTAAAAGTAATGTGAGGGTGTAGGGAGGTGTTAGTAAGAGAATTTTTGATATTTGTTAAGGCAAAATAAGCAGAACAGACTAAAATTTATAAAAATAAGCAGAACAGACTAAAATTTATAAAAATAAACAGAACAGACTTAAATTTATAAAAATAATAGTTTTATTTCATAATATATGTTTTATTATATTAAGATGAATAATGAGCCAAAACAGCCATTAAAATCATTTTAAAACATTAGGTGAGCAGGCAAATTTAAAAAAAAAATTGGATAGGCAGGCAGGCTAAGATAATTTTAAAACAAGTGGGCGGGCTTTTTAGGTACCCCTCCTCTCACATTTCAGATCTATATTGCATATAAAGTAGTTATAAATAGATAATATGTAGATAGAGGTTTCTTTATTTGTGAAAAAATGGGAGGGCATAATGACAAAAATTGAAAGGAATATTTTAGTTATGACCATGTGGGTTTCAAATTGTGTACTAACCCAATTTTTTTAAAAATGAGAAAAGCAATTCAATTTTTAGCACAAAGAATAAATGTGACAAAATTTATAAAATATTTCTTTTAATAAAAATAATTTATCTATAGGCCATATGCTTACAGGGTAAAAAAATAAATTATTATGGAAATATAGTTTTACATTAGCTTAAAATATGAAGAAATAAATATTTAAACATACTTGCGGAATACTATTTTCAAACTCCACTTCTTCTTCACTCTCTGACATTTTATAAAATTTGTATTTAAAATATGGAGAGATGTTATAAGTATCTTTAAATAAGTTTTACTAAATGTTGTCTGGTCGAAGTAGTCTTTAATCTAAAAGATACAATTAATATTTAAATAATAAAGCCTATAACTTGTTTAACGAAGGTGTTTAGAGGTTTATGGCTTATAAATTTTAAAAAATGTTCTATTAGCTTCTATGAATTATTTTAAAAAATGCTTCAGTCAAGGTAAAAAAATACCTATTTATTTTTTTATTTTGAATTTAAAAATGATTGTCATTTATAAAATAGGATACAATATTAACTATATCACAATAAAATTAATTTAAAAAATAAATAAGAATAAATTAAAATAAATAATACTCGTTAACTCAATGACTGAGAATCTCCGGGATATTTTTAAATTAGATTATATATGCTTTAAATAAAAGTGCAATACATTTGTAATTAAAAATGAAGACGCAAAGCATTATAATATGTTTGAATCAGATTTCAAGATACGATTCAGTTCTACACTTATAAAAATTTCAACTTGTTTTAAAGCCCAGAATACAGAGTTGACCTAAGGGGGTGACGAAAAGGCAGATCCCCTCATCATTTTGATTTTTAAGAATGTTAAATTATCAATTGCAGTTTTAAAAATATAAATTATTTCAAAATAATCATTCTAATATTTTTTATTTGGATCTAATTTTAAAATATAGAAACTCCTAATTTTGTTTTTTTTATATCTATGAATAATTGTTAATTTATATTATGCATAAGCTTTTAGTTGCTCTCTGAAATTACTGTTATAAAGGTATTACAGCTAATATTTATTTGAAAAATTGTAAATAGGGTATATTAACAAATGGAAGCAGGGTATTAATTAGTGTTATTAAACGGCTCGTCTTGAACCGACTTTTAAAAACGGTTAGCTCAATATTTCATCCAAAAAAGATATTACGCCTACCTGAAAATTTTGCTCATAGAGGAAACAAAGGAATTTTATCGAAATATATAGACTTAAGCAATATTTTTTCTGACTAAAATATTGAGTTAGCCGCTTTTAAAAATCGGCCCAAAACGAGCCGTTAAACAACACTAGTATTAATTAGCTACATTTTGAAGAATTTATATGCTTCTGAAGTATGTTGATTTCCCAAGAAAAGCTTACAAATATATATATATATACTTAAATATGCCTATATCGATTAAACCCAATTTATTCATTGCCTTAAGATTTTAATGACTATATATAAACTTCACGTTTTCAGTGCCCTGAAAAACACTCAAGGTTTAAAGGAGTTAAAACATATTTGTGTTCTAAATATGGGTATCTTAAATTATTTCAGAGAAGTAAATCAAAAAAATAAATTATATTAAATAATATATCTATTTACATATCACTAACCTTTTGAGATGTAAGTTACTTAACTCCTATATAATTAGATTATAATTACCTTAATATTTCAAAAGATGATGTTAATTATACAACTTATAAAATATATATAACAAAGGCAGATTTAAGGAAAAAATATTTATGTTATATATTGTATTCATTAATATATTTTATCATATAAGAACATTGTTGCCATCAAATATACTTTTCTAAAGAATTTGCATATTTATTTTGAGTATCATAATTTATACTTTGAAGTTCATGTAAATTTATTATATTTTTCAATTTTAATCGTTATTTTGGGCAAATTATAAGAATTATTATTTATCGACATCTATACTTTTAAACATAGTATATTATTTTGTTTGAAAACACTTTTTACTTTCCACTTTTTAACTATTGCAATTATATCATTGAACTATTGATAATTTTTGATATAATAGTTTTAACTTTTTAATCTTTTATAATATGTTATTATAACTTTGTAAATAAAATATTGATATTTTGGTGCAAATAACCTTATTTTTTATATTACATAATTAAATACTCAATGAATTACTTATCCACGTCATGCCATGGGTATATATTAATTTATTTTTATTTAAAAATAATAAATATGTTATTTAAAAATTAATATAAAAAAAAAATTTTTTTAATATGTTTTGTATACAGATTACTTTAAATCATTCTATTCTAATTTGAACTCAACAGTATTCAAGCAAATTAATTATACATATGATTTTCGGTTTTCCAACCTATCCTAATAAATTATGCACAGTTTTTCTTCAAATCATTCTATTCTAAATTCAATTTAACAATATTCAAGAAAATTTAATAATGGTTATTATAATTACAATGTTTGGCAGATTTGAAGTAAAATATAAAATTCAAGTAAAATTAGAACTAATGGGTCACACATGAAACTTTAATTATAGTGTGCAGATTTGAAGTAAATTATTATTGAAGTAAATTACATATATGTATTTTAGATATCAATAAGTACGACAATGGTGACTCATCGTAGGGTTCAGTGCATTTTTATTTTTAAAATTTTTATTTTGTTTTTATTTCTGTCTTAATCTTTTATAATGATTGTACAGATGTTGATTTATCTATCATTAATAAAATAAAAAGATGGCTGGTATAAACAATATAAATGTTCCAGAGATCGTGAAACCCCCCAAAAAATATACCAATAATTAAAATATCAGGGAATTAGATACACAAATAATAAAATTTATATTATTTGATGGGAATTAGATACACAAATAATAAAATTTATATTATTTGATTTAAAAATTAAATGACTAACTATCTATAAAATTAAACATCCTTATATACAATTTTAAATTAATTGCTAATGTGTTAATACTATTCTACAACATAAAAATGTAATGTATATTGTTTAAAATTATATATATATATTGAATACCACTCTAAACCAACACAATCTTTTATTTATTCAAATTAAATCAATCAATTATCCGATCATATGATCAAGAACAAAGAATCAAAATTGTTATCTATCTTTTTTGCGAAATCCATTGATAAATGTCTATATTGTCAATTACATATAAACAGATATGACACGCCCCCTTTCTTTAGAAATCAAACTGGGGTAAAAAAAATACATTTTACGTATATATATATATAATCAAAGTAAATGTCTACATAAATTCTAATATAGATCAACAAAAAATAAAAATTATTATCATTTATTTTCATTAAATTTTCTTCTTTCTGTTTCAGGAATTGCATATTTTTTCTTGACAATACAGAATTTGAGCTATAGCTACCCATTTTTTCTTGACCATAAGTAATAGTTGTCTTTGAATGTTGATTATCATTATATCTTAATGGTTATTGAGTCATAGCTTGATTGATCCATTGCATCATTGGCCAGTCATGATCATTCTATTTTAAGCTTGGTTATGTTATCCAGCATGATTCTATTTTATTGGACAGAATCATTGTAGTTGATTAAACGGAATCTTACAAAAAGTAAGTCAGCCAAATGTTTTTTTTTAAATTACATCCAAAATGTAATCATTATTCATTCCTTTTACATTATGTCAAATCTATTTCTTCCCTATCAATCATAATCCTAAATTTCAAATATTAAACACAAAGTTTCTGATTTCAATTAACAAGAGACCTTTTATTATATGATGAACTACTACTTTCCCCCTTTCCTTGGATCTAAAATATCATATTTTCAATTTTACACATAAAAATTTTCTAAAATTATCTAATGGCTCCCTGCATTATTATCCTTTACATATATAAATCCACATTTATACATATAAAATCAAAAATATTTTTACCAATTTAACAGCATAATTTTTTTAATTAAAAACGTGAACTATTTATGACCCATTCTTAAGTTTTAATTTATCTTTAGCACATGTTTAACATAAAATTTTTATATCTGGAATTTTCATATTTTTACTTCATCACATAATTTCTCTATTTATTTCATTTATCACTTTTTTTAACATTATTCATATATTTCATATGTAAAATTAAAATTTAAAAAAAGATGTACCATAGAAAAGTAATAATTGTCATAATCATTATTTAAATTTTTTGAAGCATATGGTAAAGATATTTATTGTAAACATGTCAAATTAAAATTCCAGTAAAGCTAGACCATAGAAAAATAACAATTGTCATAATCGTTATTATTTAATTTTTTTGATTTCTAGTGTCTCAAATAGGTTAAAATTTATTTTATTAAGATGTAAAAATAGAATTTCAATCAAGATGTACAATAGAAAAGTGAATTGTCATAATCGTTATTATTTTAATTTTTAAAATTTTTTTGGAGCATAATGGTAAAGATATTTATTGTAAACATGTCAAATTATAATTCCAATAAAGATATATCATAGAAAGGTAACAATTATCATAATTGTTATTATTTAACCTTTTTATTATTTTTGACGCTAATAGGTTAAAATTTATATTATCAAAATGTAAAATTAAAATATTAATAAAAATGTACCATAGAAAAGTGACAATTGTCAAATAATTATTAACTTTTTAATATTATTTTTATTGAAAACACATGTTAAATTAAAATAACAATAAAGATGTATTATAGAAAAGTGATAATTGTCATAATGGTTTTGAATTATTTTAGATATAACATAAAAAAACTGACAATTGTCATATGTAATATTTTTAAAATTTTATAAAATTTGAACAAGTTAACTAGGTTTGTTGTCAGAACGGTGACCCCGTCTAATTTTAAAAAATTAGCGTCCCCACTCTTATTTTTTTTAAGAAAATATATTGGCACAGCATGTTTCTTAAATTTTTGATGGCTTTATTATTAGATTACAGAATATTAAAAAAGGATGAGTTCTAACTGTATATATATATTTTTATTAAAAAAATAGTCGATATATGACGGTGTTGCATGATCAATTAATTTGTTATAACAGATTAATAAAATTTTATAAAGTCCTTCGATTTTATTTGCTTAATTCAATAATATCATGATTACCTTAAATGCTTCAAAAAAAAATAGCTAATTTCAATGTGAATGATCCAGTGTGATAGTGAATATAACTATGGGAAACACCAAACTCGAAAGGAACAATAGATATTTCCTAAAGCATCCAATTTCAGAATTGTCATTA